GGATGATGGAGGGATGAGGGATGATGGAGGGATGGGGGAATGAAGGGGTGCAGGAATGGAGAGGTAAAGGGATGGAGGCATGATGGAGGGATGGAGGGATGATGGAGGGATGGGGGATGATGGAGGGATGAGGGAATTAAGGGGTGCAGGAATGGAGAGGTAAAGGGATGGAGGGATGATGGAGGGATAGAGGAGTGAAGGGATGGAGGGATGATCAAGGGATGGAGGGGTGGAGGGATGATGGAGGGATGATCAAGGGATGGAGGGATGAAGGGGTGGAGGGATGGAGGGATGATGAAGGGATGGAGGAGTGGAGGGATGGAGGGCTGTGCCAGGGATGCAGCACGAGAGCTGGGGCTTATTTGCAAGGGTGTATGACTGCACTCGGCCAGAAGTGGGCACCAGGGGGTGCTGTGCACCAGGCCCTCCCAGGCTGCCAGGCAGTGCTGCCAAGTGGAGACACAACAGGGGCTTCCAAAGAACTCCTCCTAGGGGTCCCTCTGGGCTGGACAGAGGCCCCCAGGCTGTAGACGAGCAAGCCAGAAACACCGGCCGACACAGGGCTTCCCTCCCAAGAGTCCTCAGGGAGGCCTGCAGTCCCAGGCCCAGCTAGGCAGAGGGTCAGAGCACACCAGAGAGGACTGCAGGGCATGGGGATGGGTCCAGCAACTCTCGCCACAGGGCCACCCTCCCACAGCCAGCCGGGATCCCCGAGGGCAGAAGTGTGCCCCGTGACCCAGCAGAGATGTGCAGCAAGCACCAGAGGTCTGAACTGACGGAGATCTCAGCCAGAGTCCTCCCTTCCCGCACAGGGCCAGTGAGAGGGCTCCAGGCCGACGGGTGTTGCCAGGGCTAAAGACACAACGAGGCTGGGTGCGGTGGCTCACGCCTGTGGTCCCAGAGCTTTTGGAGGCTGAGGCAGGCACACTGCCTGAGCTCAGGAGTTCACCACCAGCCTGGCCAACACAGTGAAACCCCATCTCTACTAAAATACAAAAAATGAGCCGGGTGTGGCAGCATTGCCTGTAGTCCCAGCTACTCGGGAGGCTGAGGCAGGAGAATTGCTTGAACCCAGGAGGCAGAGGTTGCAGTGAGCCGAGATTGAGTCACTGCACTCCAGCCTGGGCGACAGAGTGAAACTCCATCTCAAAAAAACAAAAAGAAAAGGCACAATGCATTTAAGGCACGCTGTCAGGACTCAGAAGCCTTTGCAGTTTTGTGGTTTTCTGTGTTGATAGTCTGGGCCAGGGCCTGCACAGAGCAGGCTTGAGAAACAGGCTGGAGAAGCAAGCAGCCTCAGTTTCCCTGCAGGGGAGATGAGGAGTCTGATGACAGGACCATCCCATATTGGCCCAGAAGTCTACCATGCTCTGGGCTGACATCTGTCCCCAGCCCCTACCCCAGAGCCCCCTTACCTACAGCCAAGAGCGCTCACCAGGCAGGAGGAAGCTGCATGGGCCACACTGCGGGGGGCAGGGCTCACTCACCCTTGTGCAGGACAGCATTGGCAGGCTTGTTCCCAGCAAGGGACTCCTTGGACAGGTGCTGGTGGCTCTCGGCAAGGCACTCTACTTCAGCCAGGCGGGCATTGAGGGCCATGGCGGGGTGGTTGGGGTCCTGGGTCATGTTCAGGTAGGCAGCCCTCCGGAGCTGTTCCTCAATGACCAGCGCCTGCTCCAGCAGCTGGGGGCGGGGGACAGTGTTGGCCCAGCCCCTCCCCCTGAATGGCCACCCTCCATCCTCCATCAGCACCCACACCAGGCCAAGGCTCCCAGCAGAAAGGAGGGAAACAGGACATACTCCTGTCTGCTGCCCACCCTGGCCTGGTGGTGGCCAACTCTTGGAGCGGTCACCAAGCTGGGTTCTCTGTACCCATCAACCCAGGGCAGCAGACGCTCCCCAGCCGGGGCCAGAGCAAGGAGCCACCACTGTTAGTTGATGGACTTACTGACTGCTTCGTGGCAGTGTGACCCAGGTATGTGGCGGGGGTGGCTGCTCTCTAATTCCTTTGCCCAGGACCCTCCTGACACCCGTCTCTCCCCCCTGCTTGTAGCCCCTGGCCCTGCAGAAAACTGACCTTGAACCTGCGGGCCAGGAACTTGTTCTTCATCTCCAGGTAGTTGCCCTTGTGAATCTCAGACTTGAAGGGCTCGTTGAGGATCATGTACCTCGGGTCATTCTGGATGTCCTGCCAGCGAGCATAGCCGTGCCTGGGTGGGGCACTGTTAAGGACAAACCTGGCCATGAGAAGAGGTGGGGCCACAGGAGGAGGCAGCTTGGGCAGGGGGAGGGGCCAGCCGGGGGTCAGTATCCTGGCTGTACACTCTCAGGTGAGTCCTCAAGCCCGGCTGCTAGATGAGCATATCGACAACAGGACAGCGACAGCATCAGCAGACACTGACGGGTGCCCGGGGCACACCAGCCACAGCCCGGGGCTTCAGAGGGTTAACTCTTTACCCAACAACCTGGGTGATATGTTTAAGTGCTGCCCCAGCACCCGAGAATGGGTACCTTTTTTGGAAAGAGGGTATTTGCAGATGTAATCAAGTTAAGAAAGGGTCATACCTGATGAGGGTGGGCCCCAAACCCAGTGACTGGTATCCTCATAAGATGAGTAAAATTTGGGGCTGGACACGGTGGCTCACGCCTGTAATCCCAGCACTTTGGGAGGCCAAGGCAGGTGGATCACCTGAGGCCAGGAGCTTGAGACCAGCCTGACCAATATGGCGAAACCCCGTCTCTACTAAAATTACAAAAACTAGTCAGGCGTGGTGGTGCACGCCTCAATCTCAGCTATTCGAGGGGCTGAGGCAGAAGAATCACTTGAACCTGGGAGGTGGAGGCTGCAGTGAGCTGAGATCACACCACTGCATTCCAGCCTGAGCCACAGAGCGAGACTCCATCACAAAAAAAAAAAAAGAAAGAAAGAAAGAAAGAAAAAGGTTGCACACAGTCGCTCATGCCTGTAATCCCAGCACTTTGGGAGGCCGAGGCGGGTGGATCACTTGAGGTCAGGAGTTCAAGACCAGCCTGGCCAACATGATGAAACCCCGTCTCTACCAAAAATACAAAAATTAGCCAGAGGTGGTGGCAGATGCCTGTAATCCAAGCTACTCAGGAGGTTGAGGCAGGAGAATCACTTGAACCTGGGAGGCAGAGGTTGCAGTGAGTTGAGATTGAGGTGCTGCACTCCAGCCTGGGCAACAGGGTGAAACTCCATCTCAAAAAAAAAAAAAAAAAAGAGGGAAATGTGGACTCAGAGACACACAGGGAAGAAGCCGTGATGACAGCGGCGACACAGCAATGCCAAGGATTCCTAGCCACTGCCAGAATCGAGGAAGAGCATGGAAGAGTGAGGAAGAACAAGGAAGGCTTCCCTGGAGCCCTGAGAGCGCTCTGCCCAAGGTCCACAGAAGAACAGGTGAGTGCCTGCCCAGCCCGGCCTGACCAAGGATACGTCACAATGCCCGCCAGCAGCCAGTAGTCATGGCGCCGGTGCCAGATGTCGTAGATTTTCCCCGAGGACACCGCAGCCCGCTCCTCATTCTGCCACAGCGTGTGTAACTCTGGGAAAAGAGCCAAGGTGAGCAGGATGAGAAGTGCCCCGGCTGTGACACGCGGGCAGGACTGGACAGCCGCTCCCTCCCTCCCTGCCCCTGCCTCCACCCACAGAGGTCCAGTGAGTCAGTGTTGCTAAGAAAGGTTATACAATGGACTTTTAGCAACCAGTCACACTCTAGTATAAAGTTACCACTGGTCTAGACTCCTGGGATCCACAGTCAGGAAGCCTCAGCTCTCTGCCCACCCCCAGCCCCAGTACCTGTGAAGCCCCCATCCGCAATGTTGAACATGAACTTGAATTTCCCCTTCTTGTCCTCCTTCTTCCCCTCGTCCTCTTCCTCTTTGTCACCATTTTGCTGTGTTTCAATGGGCTCCTTCTCCTCAGCCTTATTGTCATCTGCTGGGGATACATCACATTCATTCATCCATCCCAAAAGCAGTGCCCAGGGCCTCTCTCTGCCAAGCACTGGGGACCCAGGAGGCAAGTAGAAAGAGCATCTCCTTGTCCTCAGGGGGCTTGCCACACAGAAGGGTTTTTAACAAGCCAACGGTCCCTCTCTGCGTCCTGAGCAGGGAGGTTGCTCCAAGCCCAGTGCTCCTCCCCCAGCACATCAGGACCACCCAGGAGCAAGGCAGGAGAGTGTTATGAAAGTACAGCTCAGGTTCAAAGACGCAGAGCTGCCTGAGGGGGCTGATCTGAGGACAAGTGTTCCAGAACATTCCAGTGCCTAGAGGTATGCCAAGCTTCTGGCTGAGCCCCAAATCCCCCAGGCCAGGCTCTATAACCAGCCTCCTCTCTCTCAGCAGCTGGGCACAGCAGGGCTCAGGGGAGAGGAGGGGATCCTGTCCCCTGGCATTGGCTCTGAGGGGCTGGCGAGTCCAGGCTCCCAGATGCTAGCTCCAATCAGGCCTGGGGCCAAGGGGACGGTGCCTCGGAGACTGTGGGAGGCTGAACAGGGTCCAGAGGGCACCCTCAAGGGACCACAGGGCATGGGCAGAGAACAGAGAAGAGCCCCAGACCTGGCCTGAGGTCAGCACCATCCCCTCTGCTGTGGATTAAGCTCAGCTCCAGCTTGTCCAGGATCTTCTCCTTCTCAGGAAGCACTTCCTCTGCAAGACAAGAAGGTTCACGGTGTGGGGCGGGGTCCCAGAAAGCAGAGAGGACTCTGGGCTGCTGGTTTTCCACTGAAGAACCCTACCCATTCACATGTTCTGCAGAGTCCAACAGCTGACACCAAAAAGAACTCCCCTCAACCGGGTGCAGGCTCAAGCCTGTAACCCCAGCACTTTGGGAGGCCAAGGCGGGAGGATCACTTGAGACCAGGAGTTCAAGACCAGCCTGGGCAACATAGTGAGACCCCATCTCTACAAAAAAATACAACAAATTAGCTGGGCTTGGTGGCACACGCCTATGGTCCCAGCTATTCAGGAGGCTGAGACGGGAGGACTGCTGAGCCTAGAAGGTCAAAGCTCCCATGAGCTGAGATCCCACCACTGCACTCCAGCCTGAGTGACAGAGCAAAAACCTGTTTCCAGAAAAATAAAAAGCACACAGAAGATGAGTTCCCAAGAAGAGAAGGAAATCACCAGGTGACAGGAAGGAAGGGGAAACTGAAGCTAGAGAGGCAGGAGCTGGCATCCGGTGCCCCAGGCTGGGGTGATCAGACACCAGGAAGAGGCCTGGAGAGCTTAGAACTGGCTGTGTCTCGACACCCAGGCAGGACAGGTGAGGCCTCAAGCCCAAAAGATGCAGAGAACTGGCATGATGCCAACGGCCTCCGATACCATGGTCTCTGTGAAGGCAAGTTCTTGCCACCAGCCATGGGAGTGAGAAGGCCCGTCTCCACCATGGGATCAAAGAAAAGAAGGTCTCCCATCAGGAACCCATACCCAAAGCCTCGTCCTCATGTGGGTGGTATCTGAACTGGACCACCCTACGCAGAGACAGCATCATAAAACTGCTCCCAGAACAAGACTGCCTGTGAAGCCTCCTGGCCTGAGCCACCAGAAACAAAAGAGGGGGACACTCCCACTCCCCAGAGGACACGGGGCTCCTACAGATAAAAGTCGCCCAAGGATGCACCAATCCAAACCCAGAAAACAATGATACCCCCAGCAGCAGACACACAGGAAGCAGACCAGCACCCTGGGGCAATAGGACAGCGTCAGAGACGCTCAAACAGGGGTGTCCAATCTTTTGGCTTCCCTGGGCCACACTGGAAGAAGAATTGCCTTGGGCCATACATAAAATACACTAAACACTAATGACAGCTGATGAGCTAAAATACATATATATTATATACAGAGAGAGAGAGAAACATATGTGATATATACATATCGGTTTTATATATATATATCTCTCACCAAAAAAATCTCAAAATGTCTTAAGAAAGTTTACGAATTTGTGTTGGGCCACATTCAAAGCCATCCTGGGCCACAGACTGAAAAAGCTTGCTCTAAAATAAATATATCTAGAGTGACCAAAGACAGAGGAAAAAGAAAAAGAAGGAAGAGAATCCACAGGGAAAGAATAAGACTCCCTCAAAACTAGAAATAAACAGATAAAATTTTTAGAAATGTGGGCAGATCGCTTGAGGTCAGGAGTTTGAGACCAGCCTAACCAACATGGTGAACCCCGTCTCTACTAAAACTACAAAAAATGAGCTGGGCATGGTGGTGCGTGCCTGTAATCCCAGCTACTCAGGAGACTGAGGCAGAATTGCCTGAACCCAGGAGGCGGAGGTTGCGGTGAGCCGAGATCGCGCCATTGCACTCCAGCCTGGGTAACAAGAGCGAAACTCCGTCTCAAAAAAAAAAAAAAAAATTTCCCCAGTTGTGGTGGTGGATGCCTATAATGCTGGCTACAGGGAGGCTGAGGCAGGAGAATCGGTTGAACCCGGGAGGCAGAGGCTGTAGTGAGCCAAGATCACGCCATTGTACTCTAGCCTGGGTGACAGAGCAAGACTCCGTCTCAAAAAAAAAAAATAGAAGAAATGAAATGCACAATCGTTGACATTTTAATTGCAGAATTCTAAGATGTGATCCAAGACTTCTGGCCCTTGGTGTCCATGCCCAGCAAAAACCCCTGGACGGTGAAGAGGATGGACTGGACTCCCTAGAGCAGCTTCCGTTTTGTGGCACAGGTGAGCTTAAAATAGAGAGAGGACCTGAGTAGGCCTAACCTGACCACATGAGCCCTTTTCTCTGGCCAGTCACAAAAAAGGAAGTCAGATATTCGAAGCATGGAAGGGTTTCTGTTCACCATTGCTGGCTTGAAGACAGACCATACTACATGGCAGGAATGCGGCCGAAAATGCACCCAGCTGACAGCCAGCAAGGAAATGGGACCTCAGTCCTCCAGCCTCATGGAACTGAATTCTGCCAACAAGAAAGAGTGAGCATGGACGTGGACTTTTCCCCAGGGCCTCCAGACGAGAACTTAACCTAGTCGATACTTTGATGTCCTCAACCTTGTGATATCCTCAGCAGAACACCCAAAAATACCACTCCAGGGGTCGGCCCCACACAACTGTGAGCTCGTGCTGAGTGCTGTTTTAAGCTACTATGTATGCAGTAATTTGTGACACAGCCATGCAAAATAATACAAATGGGAATGGTTTAAAAAACAGCTGTGCAAAGAAAATATACATGGAAGCTTGATCCAAGGATTACTCAAAAAGCCTGGCAGATAAATAAACAAAAAAGAAGCACAAGCTATAAAAACTGTGTCAGCCCCCATCTTTTGCTAACCTTGTACTCTGCTTTCTTCCCCAGAGCATTTGGAGTCTGTGGTTGAACAACACATATTTTTGTTTATTGTTGATTGCCTGTATTCTACACTGGAATACAAACTCCATGAATGAAGCTTTCAGCTGTTTTGGTTCACTGCTTGTGTCCCCAATGCCTGGGACAGCATCTGATACTCAGCAGGCTTTATACATATATATATATGTTAGTTGGATGAATGAACCAATCAATGAGTAATAGGAATTCCAGAAGGAGGAAATAAACATAATGGGGGCAAAGAAAATATTCAACGAGCGAATGAGAATTTTCCCACAATTGATGCAGAACATAAATATTCAGCTTTAAGAATCACAGTGAGTCACACACAAGATAATTAAAAACTTCACTCTAAAAACAAAACAAAAATACCCTCCATTGTAGTGAAGCCACATATCACCAAAGACAAAGAGAATGTCTTAAATGCAGTCTTTCGACGTGAGAAAAGATAGAAATGAGAAATTTCCTACACAGGAGCAGCAATTACACCAACAGCAGCCTTCTCAGCTTCTCAGTAGCCTTCTTGGCATAATGAATGCCAAAGAAAAAAGGAAGAGTATCTTCAAAGTGCTGAGGGAAGATCCCTATCCCATCTAGAATTGTAATAACTATTCAAGAGTAAAAGAACTAACAAACAGTGAGAGAATTTACCGTTCCCAAAAATGTGCCGAAAGCACCATTAAAGGTGTGCTTTAGGAAGGATTTGAATGAAGCAATAATGAACAAATAAGCAAACACAAACTGTTAAGAATGTGAGGAGATCTAAAAAAGGATTAAAGATTTAGAAGCATAACAACAAATACTGGGCAAGGGCAACATGGCAGATGAAAGGGAAGTGAGTTCGAACTAAAGCTATCTAAAGTCCTCATATTATTCAGAAAAATTTAAGAGTACAGAACAGAATTGACTATAAGCCTTCCAAATGAGTTGAGGGGGAAAAGAGGAGATATAAAAAATATATAGATATAAAGCAAATTTGATCAATCCAAGAGATGCCAGGAAAAGAGGAAAGAGGAGAAAAGAGAAGGAAAATATAAAGTATAAAATAAGACAGTAGAAATCCACCACATATCTTGTTATTACAATAAATGTAAAGAGAATAAACTTGCCATCTAAAAGACAGGGACCCTATAATTAGATTTTAAATGACGAATCCCCTACACACTGTCTACAAAAGATAGACCTAAAACATTACAAAGAGATTAAAAGTGAAGAAATGAAAGAAAATATTTGTAAATCATATATCTGATGAGGAACATGAATCTACAGAAAGACCTCATATAAGTCAGGCACAGTGGTACACCCATGTGATCCTAGCTACTCAAGAGGCTAATGCCAGAGAATTACCTGGGCCCAGGACTTCAAAGCCCACCTGGTCAACAGAGTAAGATCCTGTCTCTAAAACTGTTAAATTAATTAACGAAAAAGAACTCTTATAATTCAATAATAAAAAGATAATCCAATTTTAAAATAGACAAAGGATCTGAAAAGATGTTTCTTCAACATATTATATACAAATGAGCCATAATCACATGAAAAACATTCAACATCTTTATGCACAAAGGAAATACAAATCAAAATGACAATGAGATACCACTTCTTACCCACTACGATGACTATAATCAAAAAGACAGATAATAACAAGTATTGGCAAGGATGTGAACAAAACGAAACCCTCACACATGCTGGTAGGAATGTGAACTGATGCAATACACATGGAAAACAATCCAGCAGTTTCTCAAAATGTTACAGAGAATTACCATATGCTCCAGCAATTCTAATCCTAGATATATACCCACAAGAACTGAAAACCTAATGTATACACAAATGTGTACAGTAGCCAAAAAGCAGAAACAAAACTCAAATGTATCACTATGAATTGATAAATAAAACATAGTAGATCTGTACAACAGAATATTATTTGGGCATAAAAAGAAATGAAATACTGCCTGTAATCCCAGGAGGTCAAGGTGGGAAGGTCGCTTGAGCCCAGGAGTTCAACACCAGCCTGGGCAACATGGCAAAACCCCATCTCTAGAAAAAATACAAAAATAAGCCAGATGTGTCAGCATATGCACCTGTAGTCCCAGCTACTTGGGAGGCTGAGGTGGAAAGATTGCTTGCACCCAGTAGGTTAAGGCTATAGTAAGGTAAGATCATGCCACTGCACTCCAGCCTGGATGACAGAGCGAGAGCTCGTCTCAAAAAAAAAAGAAGAAGAAAGGAATGAAGTACTAATACATTCCACAACATAGATGAGCTAAAAACACTATGTTACCAAAAAAAAAAAAAGGGTCAGGCATGGTGGCTCACACCTGTAATCCCAGCATTTTGGGAGGCCAAGGCAGTGGATCCCCAGTGGTGGGGAGTTCGAGACCAGCCTGACCAACATGAAGAAATTCCATCCCTACTAAAAATACAAAATTTGCCAGGCATGATGGCGCATGCCTATAATCCCAGCTACTCAGGAGGCTGAGGCAGGAGAAAACTTGAACCAGGAAGGCAAAGGTTGCAGTGAGCCAAGATCGCGCCATTGCACTCCAGCCTGGGCAACAAGAACAAAACTCTGTCTCAAAATAAATAAAATAAAATAAAAACACCATGCTAAGTGAAAGAAGTCAGACACAAAGGCCAATGTATTGTATTATTACACTGATATGAAATGTTCAGAATAGGCCAATCCATAGAGACAGAAGTACATTTGTGATTGACAGGGGCTGGGGGGAGGAGGAAGAATGGGGAGTGATTGCCAATAGGTAAGAAGAATTTCTTTTTGGAGTGAGGAAAATGTTCTGGAATTAGATAATAGTGGTGGTTGCACAACTCTGCATGTGCTAAAAATAACAAATGGTATCCTTTTTTTTTTTTTTGAAACAGAGTCTTGCTCTGTCGCCCAGGCTGGAGTGCAATGGCACGATCTCCTCGGTTCACTGCAGCCTCCGCCTGCCAGGTTCAAGCAATTCTCCTGCCTCAGTCTCCCAAGTAGCTGGGACTACAGGTACACGACACCATGCCTGGCTAATTTTTTAAACTTTTAGTAGAGACAGGGTTTCACCATGCTGGCCAAGCTGGTCTCAAACTCCTGACCTCATGATCTGTCCACCTTGGCCTCCCAAAGTGCTGGGGTTACAGGCATGATCCACTGCACCCAGCCACAAATGGTATACTTTATTTATTTATTTAGTGAGACACAGTTTCTATCTCATCGCCCACACTGGAGTGCAGTGGCACCATCTCGGCTCACTGCAACCTCTGCCTCCTGGGTTCAAATGATTCCTCTGCCTCAGCCTCCTGAGTAGCTGGGATTACAGGCACCTGCCACCATGCCCGGCTAATTTTTGTATTTTTGGTAGAGATGGGGTTTTATCATGTTGGCCAGGCTGATCTCGAACTCCTGACCTCAGGTGATCCACCTGCCTTGGCCTCCCAAAGTGCTGGGATTATAGGCGTGAGCCACCGCTGTCAGCCTGAATGGTATACTTTAAATGGCTCGGCTGGGTGAGGTGGCTCACACCTGTAATCTCAGCACTTTGGGAGGACAAGGTGGGCAGACATCGAGACCATCCTGGCTAACATGGTGAAACCCCATCTTTACTAAAAATACAAAAAATTAGCCAGGTGTGATGGCATGTGCCTCTAGTCTCAGCTACTCAGGAGGCCGAGGCAGGATAATCACTTGAACCCAGGAGGCAGAGGTTGCAGTGAGCTGCGATTATACCACTGCACTCCAGCCTGGGCAACAGAGCGAGACTCTGTCTCTAAATAAATAAATAAATAAAATGGCACAACTGTATATGTTAATTATAATTATGTCACCATAAAACTGTTACATTTAAAAAAAAAAAAAAAAAACAGGAATAGGGAAAAGCGTAACAAATACATACTAAAGAAAAAAGAGCAACCCAAATCAGCATAAATACACTTTTAAGCAAAAAGTTTAAAGAGGAATAAGAGGGTCATTACACAATAATTAGAAGCACACTTCACATGAAAAATATTAAAAACCTAAACAAATATGCACCTGACAACTCAGTCTCAAAGGAGATGAAGAAAATCTGGCATTATAAGAAGAAAGAGATTAATCTGTAACCAAAATGAGAGATTTTAACACAAGTCTCTCAGAAACTGACTGATCAAAGCAAACCAAATACTAGTAAAGATATTAAAAACTTGAATAACATAATTAGCATCCATTATCTACTGATTTAATGCATATATATAATATATATATATATTTTTTTTGCAATGGAGTCTCACTCTGTCGCCCAGGCTGGAGTGCGACGGCATGTTCTTGGCTCACTGCAACCGCTGCCTCCTGGGTTCAAGCGATTCTCCTGACTCAGTCTCCTGAGTAGCTGAGACTACAGCCGCCCACCAACACACCCAACTAAGTTTTCTATCGTTAGTAGAGATGGGGTTTCGCCATGTTGGCCAGGCTGGTCTCAAACTCCTGACCTGAGATGATCCACCCATCTCAGCCTCCCAAAGTGCTGGGATGACAGGCGTGAGCCACCATGCCTGGCCCTAACACATATATTTAGAACCTTAAACCCAGCCATTAGGGAGCAGACATTCTCTTCAAGCACACATACAGCATTTGCAAAATCTGACTATATCAAGCCAGAAAGCAGGTTTCAACAACCTCATACAGACTCATATTTTCAGACCACAATGCAATTGAGTCAGAAATCACAAATAAGAAAGTAGTCCAATAAGCCCCAATCTCTGTATGATAAAGAAAAGTTAAAGACCATCGGGCGAGGTGGCTCATGCCTATAATCCCCAAGGTGTGGGAGGCCAAGGTGAGTGGATCCCTTGAGGTCAGGAGTTCGAGACCAGCCTGACCAACAGGGTTAAATTCCATCTCTACTAAAAATCAAAGAAAAAACATTAGCTGGGTGTGGTGGCACATGGTACTCCCAGCTACTCGGGAGACTGAGGCACAAGAATCCCTTGAACCCGGTAGGCAGAGGTTGCAATGAGCCAAGATTGTGCCATTGCATTCCAGCCTGGGTGACAGAGTAAGACCCTTTCTCCAGTCCATAAGTCCATGTATGGAGAGCTGAGCGCCTGCCCTCCCCTCACCAGGGGGCCTGCAGAGCGATGGAGTCTGCCCCTCTGCCAGCAAGAAATGAGCTGAAGTACAGCCACCTGCCCTTCCCTGACCCGGGCCTGCTGAGGCCAGACATGGCACTGGAGTGGGCGGCCTGCGGGAAGCCCCAACCTCTAGGCAGCTGTTCTGGGGAGGGCGGGGCCTTCTCCTTCTCCTCCGGCCGCTCCTCGCGGGCTCTCTCCTTGCTGGCTGGGCTCTCGTGCATGCCCTCGCCCTCCACTCTGTCCAAGGCAGTTGGCAGGGCCTGCAGAGGGGAAACCAGGTAAGCTGCAGGGCCTGGGGCCTCACCAGGAACAGAGGGCAGGGAACGTGCGCTGGGCTGGGAACCCACTCTCCTGGCTTCCATCGCTTGCTCCCAGCCTGCTCCCCAAGACCCAGAGGCTTGAAAAGGGACCCAGGAGTTCTGGGTTCCACCTGGCTGTGCAGGGCCTGAGAAGGTCCCAAGACCCAACCTCCACCCCACACGCACCACAGACCCAGACGCCAGCAAGTTCCACACCTGGACCTCCAGGGGTTTCTTTGGCTTCTGCAGCCCCGGGTCCTTCTCATCCATGTAGCCCAGCTGGGCTTCCATTTTGTCTGAAAGAACAAGAGAAAGAGGTGAGACAGGTGAGACAGGTGGACTCAGACGGGAAGGGCTAGGGCAGGGAGGCGGGTGGCAGAGAGGAGAGGAGGGGCTTCGCCTTCAGGAGGCTCCATCGACACCAAGCATCTCCTGGAGAGACTGGCAGGATCCCCAGCTAAGCCAGAGAGGACAGACCGGGCCTAAGACTCAGGGGTGCTTGGAGGACCCTTGAACCCAGTGAGACCAAAAAGAGGGGCAGTCAGGAGGGGGCCGCACACAGCAGTGGCTGCTCATCTGGAGGGAAGGAGGTGAGGCAGATGGAGGCACAGATTGGGAGCCACGATGCCTGGCCTGGTTCCAGCTTTCGGACAGGCTGGCTGGCCATGTGCCTCTGGACAGAGTGAGTTTCCTGTCTGCTGATTCAGCTGCCGCAAAGTGCTGGTCACTTACGTGGCTCTGAGAAGCCCTGGGAGGTAGATGCATCACAGCTGGGAAAGCGGAGGCTCACAGAGGTTAGGTAACTTGCCCAAGATTAGACAGAGTTGAGGGCAAAGCCAAGAAGCAAACCAAGGCGTGTCCACCTCCAAGGGTTCACTTGTGCTTGGAGGTGCTGCGCATCTTAGGGCCTGGCCTCAGCCATCAGCAGGGGATAACTATGCCTGCCCCAGGCCTGTGAGCCCCAACGGAGGGACCAGGTATTTACCAGGGATTTGCTTCACCCAAATAAATACCTGGGTCACCAAAGAGACACCTAGGCACAAATGACCCAATTAAAAGTGTGTAAAGAGTCTGAAAAGACATTCCTACAAGTCTGCAAATAGCCAATAAGCACACCAAACAACACGCAACATCCCTGGCGGCAGGGAAATGCCCATCAGAACCACAGTGAGATGCCACCTCACGCTCACCACGATGGCTAGGACCATGAAGGCAGACAGCAAGCACTGAGGAAGACTCAGAGGAGCTGGAGCTCTTGTACAACACCGGCAGGAACGTAAAATGGTACAGCTGCTTTGAAAAGCAGTCTAGTAGTTTCTCAAAAGGGAAAACAGAGCTATCACATGACCTGGCAATTCCTTTCCCAGATATCTGCCCAAAACAACTAAAAACCTATGTCCACACAGAAACGTAAAATGCACCAATTCACAGCAGCGTAACTCACAGTAGCCAAAAAGTAGAAACAACCCAAAATCTATTGACAGAGCAATAGATAAGCAAAATGCAGTAAATCCATACAAGAAAACGTTATCAGCCAGGCGAGGTGGCTCATACCTGTGATCCCAGCACTTTGGGAGGACAAGGCAGGTGGATCACCTGAGGTCAGGAGTTCAAGACCAGCCTGGCCAATATGGGGAAACCCTGTCTCTACTAAAAATACAAAAATTATCTGGGTATGGTGGTGTGTGCCTGTAATCCCAGTTACTTGGAAGGCTGAGGCAGGAGAATTGCTTGAACCTGAGAGGTGGAGGTTGCAGTGGACTGAGATCGTGCCATTGCACTCCAGCCTGGGTGACAAAAGCGAAACTCCATCTCAAAAAAGGAAAAGAAAACGTAATCAGCCATAATGCGGAATGAATGAAGCACGGATGCACACAGCAATGTGGATGAACCTGGAACCCCCGCACTGAGTGACAGAAGAGAGACCCAAAGGGTCACATTCCATGCGGTGCCCCATACACAAAACGTCCAGCATTGCGAAATCCACACACACAGGAAGGGAGTGGCTGCTAATGGGTAAGGGGTTTCTTTTTTGAGGGGAATGAAGATATTCTGGCCTTAGGTAGTGGTGCTGGTTGTACACCCTGTGAATATACTAGAAATCACTGAATAGCACATTTTTTTTTTTTTTGAGACAGAGTCTTGCTCTGTGACCGCAGGCTGGGGTGCAGTGGTGAGATCTCGGTTCACTGCAACCCTCCGCCTCCCAGGTTCAAGCAATTCTCCTGCCTCAGCCTCCCGAGTAGCTAGGACTGCAGGCGCATGCCACCATGCCCAACTAATTTTTTATATTTTTAGTAGAGACAGGGTTTCACCATGTTAGCCAGGATGGTGTCGATCTCCTGACCTTGTGATCTACCCCTCGGCCTCCCAAAGTGCTGGGATTACAGGCTTGAGACACCACATCCGGCCCAAGACAGGATTTTGCCATGTTGGCCAGGTTGGTCTCAAACTCCTGAGCTCAGGTGATCCTCTCGCCTTGGCCTCCTAAAGTGCTGGTACTACAGGCATGAGCTACCAGGCCCAGCCAATTTTTTAAGAGTAAATATTGCAGTATGTATGTAAATTATATCTCAAAATTGTCATTAAAATGAAAAACTCTAGAGAGTGACATTTCAGCCAACAGGGACCATGGGGGAAGGAGGGGCCGTCTTCTAAGGGGTGCGGGTTAGACTGGGGGTTCCTGTGACCTTGCCACTTTCCATAACCCCAGTGCCCTCCCTGGCCCACCCAGCCCACAGACCTGTCAGGCCCAGCGGGGCTGGCGGGAGGTGGGCAGGGCTGGCGGGCACTGGCGTGTTGGGGTCTGAGGAGATCACCTCGCCCGGCTTCTTGCCCTCGGGCCCCTCAGGGATCAAGTCTGGGGTGCTGTATTTCCCGTTGACATGCTCAAACTCTTGAACCTGGGGTGGTGGGAGGGAAGGTGGGAGCAAAAGAGGGAGGGTGGTGGTTGTGGCTCAGCCCTAAGGGCCTCGGGGCAGCCACAGGGACTTCGGGTGTCACAGGCTTGGGGTAGCTGCTGCCTCTGCCCAAGGCTGGCCAAGGCGTGCCCCTCCTGACCACAATGCTCCCCTGCCTGCCATCCCACCCACTGTGTGTCCCCCAACTGTAATCCACCATCCTGGCCTCCACCCTCAGGCCCCTCACCCAGAAAGGCTTTCCGGGTCAGTCCCTCTGGCCTGACTCAGACCCTGGGCAGCTGTGTGGCCTGAGCCAGGCACTTGCTCTCTGACCACTGACCCCCAAGGGACAGTGCCAGAACCCCAGGCCGTCACCAGGAAGGGCCCTACGGAGAGTTACTCACCCACCTTCTTCCTAACTAGTGACATGACCCCAATGCGGGTCAGCACGTGCTGCCTGGAGAGGCCCTCCCGGGGTACGCCATCCGCGAAGGTCTCTGCGCCGTCCGCCCCCGGCTCACACAGGTGCCGCATGAAGAGGGACACATAGGCTCTGGGGTGGGGGGGGACTGGGGCTCAGGGAGTGGGGGGCCGGCAAGAACCCTCTGAGAGGGCTGGCAGGACCCCAGGGGACCTCCTGGCTGATCATCAACCATCGCCCACCTCCCAGTCAGGGCTCCAGGGCCAGGCCTGGGAAAGGACAGAGAGGGCCTCCCTGGCGAGGGGACCGGCTAGAACAGCCCTGACTGGGATCTTCCTTGCTGCTGTAACACCAGCTGGTTTGGGCAGGGGCGGATGGTCAGTGTTTTCTGCACATCAGCCCTGCCCGGCACCAGGACTCTAGCCACCCAAAGACCAAACGGCAGTGAACTTTCCAGAAGGCCTCATCCTGGCGGAAGCAGACACTGCCCTATGTGAGGCTCACCCGTGGGAGCCTGCCCTCCTCAGAGGCAGGTGGTCATGCCCTGGGCTACCACCTAGCCCCTTTACCTAAACTCCTTCTCGCTCTTCCCTCGAAGGTCCCGCACCAGCCAGTGGGAGTTGAAGGCGTCCTGCGGGGGCATGCCCCAGCGCATGATGGCGTTCAGAAAGGCCTTCCGCTGTCGGGCATTGAAGCCCAGCACCTGAGCGGGTGGAGCACAGGAGTGTGAGCCCAGGGCAGAGACGGGGTGGGAGTGGAGGATTCTGGGATGAGGAAGAAAGGTACGGGAGGAGGAGAAGGCAGGAGGGGACACAGAGAAGGCAGGGGCCGCCACCTGGAGCAGGACCCTGGTGACAAAGACCAGACCAGCCCCACCTCTACCTGGCATGAGGCCCTCGGCAGTCCCCCAGCCCTCCTCCGTACCCCAGGGGCAGCAGGAATTGGGAGCAGAAAGACATGTGGGAACAGACAGGCCCCACCTCGATGTTGCCACCAACTCGGGCAAGAAGAGGTGGCAGGGGCTTGTCCCTGTCGCTCTTCAGCTGCCTCCGGGATTGTCGTCGTCCACCTGGGGAGCAGCCCGCCACAGCTCCTCAGGTGGGAGCCCAGAGATTCCTGACCCCCCTCTTCTGACCCCAAGGGCAGCGGGACCCCAGGCCAGCCCCGCCCCTGATGCCATCAGCTCCCCTGACACAGCCTCAGTGGCAGCCCAGGCCACCAACACTGAGACTCACTCTGCCCTTCTGGCCTCTCTTCGAAGTCCTCATCCTCATCCTCGGAGCCAATGGAATATTCTGACTGGTTATCGGAGAGCTCATCCTGCCACTCTGCAGGGGCGAGGCAGAGGGGCATGGAGTGAGCTGTGCAAGCTAAGCCCACCCTCAAGTTCAAGCACGCCCAGGGCCATGCCAAGCCCTTGCACCCCAGCTGGTAAGAAAGCAGTGACAATGACAATGGCCTAGGTACTTCCTGTGGGCTCATTTAATAATCCCAGCAGCACCTAGTAGTACACTAAGGGTACTACGCACACCCACATATTACACACGCTGTACTGTGTGCAAGGGGCTTGCCCAAGGCCATGTCACGAGCAATGGTGAGGTCACTGAACTGGTGCCACACCTATTCCTCCAAACACCTAGCACCCCTGCACCTGCCCCCAGTCCCCTTTCCTCCAAGCAGCTGCCTCCCCGCTCCATCCAGCACTGCCCAGCATTCCCAGCCCACACCTCCTGGGGTCCTGCACAGGGATGCCCTGACAGAATCCTGCCCTACCCTTTGCCTCCAGGTATGGAGCACCGGTCCCTCCTGGCACGATCACCCAGGTCTCCCGGCCCGCACCTCCCGGGAGTCCCGCACAGGGACAACCCTCCGCTTTTGGTGAGGGGCACCCATCCCTCCCGCCCCGCACGCACCCTGGTCCTCTTGGGAGGCGTCGTTGTAGTTGACCTGCTTGCGGATGCGCTTGCCCTTGCCCAGGTTGCGGGCCAGGTCCTCCTGCTGCTGCTCGTAGTGGTGCCGCAGCAGCTTCTCCCAGTAGTCGGGGTCCACATTCTCCTCCTGCTTGATGATTTCCCGCTCCACCTCCTCCTGGGGACGCAGGTTCCACGGGCTCCATGGACAGGGCCATCCTTGCCCTCCTGGAAGCCTCAGGCTGCCTCCACCCAACCTGGCCTTTTGCCCCTTTGGGGCTCAAGGATTAATGGGAGGCACTGTCTACTCCAGGAAGCCTTCTCTGATCACCCCAGCCCCAGCTGGGCTTCCTCTCCCTGCCCCTGTCCAGTCAATCATTTCCTTATTTATCCATTCACAATGCAAGAATTTTCTGGCCTCATGCCAAACACTGGGGTACTGAGTTGAATAAGCCCCGATGCCTGCCCTCAGGAAGCTCCTGGTTTCAGAGGAAAAGGTCATGAGCTCACCAGGTCTGCACAGAGGGTGGAGAAGCCGAGGAGGAAAGGGAAAGGCCCCCAGGAGAGATCCGAGTAGTTCCCTGGGGATAGCTAGGGTTTGCCGGGTGGAGAAAGGAGAAAAGTGCAGACATGGTGGCTCACGCCTGTAATTCCAGCACTTTGGGAGGACCAGGCGGGCGGATCACGAGGTCAGGAGTTCAAGACCAGCCTGGCCAACATGGCAAGACCCCGTCTCTACTAAAAATACAAAAATTAGCTGGGCATGGTGGCACACGCCAGTAATCCCAGCTACTCGGGAGGCTGAGGCACGAGAATCGCTTGATCCTGGGAGGTGGCAGTTGCAGTGAGCGAGATCGCGCCACTGCACTCCAGCCTGGGGGACAGAGCGAGACTCTAGTTAACGAAAAAAAAGAAAGAAAAGGGCGGGGCGTTCTGGAACACTAGCGGTCCAGGTGCAGAGCGGACATGTAGGCCTTGAGGCAGGGGCGGGAGGGCACACCGCACCCCGGAAGGGACTGACACTAGACCCGGGGGACAGGGCTCTGCGCAGCGGGGTGGCAGGTCGGCTTGCACTTCAGAACGTGGGGAAGCCGGACTGGAGCTAGGACGACGCCAGGGAGCAGGCGGCTGAAGATGTGTGCAAGGGCAGTGGCCGGCCCACGTGGCTGTACTGCCCTCAGCACTGCCTCCGTCCCTTCCCTCACTGTTGTGTCTAGTGCTGAGCCCGCGGTTGCGGCGGCCGGGATGCGTTGGTAACCGCAGGGACCGCGGGGCTGCGGCTGGAGGGCGGAGTTACAGCGTGAAGGGCGGGGTCACAGCGTGGAGGGGGGCTGCGGCTGGGGCCGGGCTGTGGCTGGAGGGCGGGGTCACAGCGTGGAGGGGGCCGCGGCTGGGGCGGGGCTGAGGCTGGAGGGCGGGATCATAACGTAGAGAGCGGGGTTGTGGTTGGGGCGGGGCTGAGGCTGGAGGGCGGGGTTAAAGCGTGGAGGGCGGGGCTGAGGCTGGAGGGCGGGGTTACAGTGTGGAGGGCGGGGCTGCGGCGGGAGCGGGGCTGCGGCGGTACGGCGGGATCACAGTGGAGGGCGTGGTCACGGTGGAGAGCGGGGCTGCGGCTGGAGGGCGGGCCGGGGACCTTACCACGCCGTCCTCCTCGCGCACCACGTACTGCGCCACCTTGAAAGAGCTCAGGTACTCGTTCATGTTCTGTAGTTCCGTGTCGTCTGTGGCGTCCTGGTTCCGGTCCAGCAGCTTGGAGATGGCCGCATCGTCATAGTGGATCACACTGCTGTCCTCCACATCCTTGTTGTCACCTGGGGAGCAGGCAAGTGCGGTGTGGGGACAAAGACTGCCCTGGTCCACCCCGGGGGACCTGGGAAGACTCCCAACAGTGGCCCTTCCCATCCCCCCCAGGGGCTGCAGCTGAGGGGCGTGTTGACCCGACAGAGGAAATCGCGCTGCAACAGCCCCACTCCCCGCCCACCCGGCAGTCCCAGGACACCCAAGTGAGGGTGTGTCGGGGAACCCCTCCTCTCCAGGAGCAGCCGCCTGATTGGAGGAGGAGCTGGGGTTGGGGTGGGTTGGACCCTACCTGGCGGGGTGCTACCGTGCTTCTTCTTTGCACTGGCAGCCAAGTTTCCCCCTTTGGAGGACTGGACATCAGGGATGGGCGTGACCGGCCTCTGGCCCTGAGACATCATGCCTGTTGGGCAGAGAGGAGGGCGCTGGTGCAGGAGCACAGAGGGCTACAGGGTGGATGGGCAGTGCCCAGAGACACCACCCTGGGCTGCCCTGGCCAAGAGACACCGGTGGGCGTGCAGGAGAGAGGCTGTGCATGTTGGAACGGGCAGGGACCCCATCAAGCCATGGATGGGTGTCTCAGCAGCATGACCCCAGGCCCCACCACGCTCCCTCGGGACAGAGGCCCACCCTCCACGTCGTCCTTGAAGAGCTCCTCTGTGCCGAACTTGAGGATGTCATCCAACTCCTGCTTAGTCATGGAGCCTGACTTGGAGCCGAGACCAGGCCGCACCACCAGGTGGGTGAGCATCATCTTGCGCTTGGCTACCTGCGTGATGCGCTCCTCCACTGAGGCCCGAGTCACGAAGCGGTAGATCATCACCTTCTTGTTCTGCCCGATGCGGTGGGCACGGCTGAAGGCCTGGGGAGACCTGCAGCTCAGCACCCGTGGCTCACCCAGGGCTCCAGGCAATGGAGGGGGTCACAGCCATGAGCTCAAGAGCATGGAATGGGCTGCATGACGGTAGGGAGAGGCATGTGGTGCATGCACCACTGCAGCTGGGCTCCCTCCCGGACTGCGAAGCCTCCCACGAGCCTGGGTGCTGGGCTGGGTTGGGAGTGGAAAAGCTCCCAGTGGAAGCAGCCAGGACTGCAGGTGTGCAAGGGTGTGTGAGAGATGACACAGCCGTGTGCTGGGTGTAACTGACACCACACAGAACTTCATGGGGGCCCTGGGGAGGTAGGGGGCTGCATTTCTCTGTGAGCCAGCCACTAATGGAACCACAAGACCACATGCTGGAGATGCACAGCCACCTTCCGAGGGCAGCAAGGAGCTGAATCTGCCCAGTGTAATACAGGGAAGTCCCAGAGACTCTCTGCAGCCCTGCATGAGGTGACCCAGATGTGACCATGAATATCTGTGTGTGTGCATGGGTGCATACACATATGAATGAGAGACATCACTTTTTATGTGTTCCCCTACATGTGTAAACGTTCCATGTGTGTGTCCCAGGCCCCGAGTGGGGTGGCCAGGGCCATCAGGGTAGCTCTCTTCCCATAGGCCCACCCCCCACATCCCTCCCATCCTTCCTTGTCAACCCCATTTGCCCCTTGCACCATCTCATCCTCCCCCCACCTCCGACAGGCCCACTCTATGCTCCCCATCCCCTCCAAAATGGATGCCCCTCTGGGTCCCAGGACTCCCTCATCCTGCCTCCCTCCATGGCCTTGGTCCTGAGGGTGATGGGAAAGACCAGAATCAGTGGCCACCACGGACTGCGGTGTGCCCTTGGACACTTCCCCTGCCCTCTCCAAGCCTGTTTCCTCCTCTGGACGAGGACAGAGCTGGAGGGATGGGGGCCAAGTTTCCACTCATTCCCAGGGCCCCTCGTGGGGCCGAGACTCCACAAGGGAGGGAGGCCCACAGCACCAGGAGGTGTGGAGGTTGTGCCCAGGAGGCCATGAAGGACAGGAGAACCTGCCCAAGGCCTGGGGTGAGAGAGCCCTGGGAGGGTGGCAGCAGTGACACAGACCTGAATGTCATTGTGCGGGTTCCAGTCCGAGTCGTAGATGATGACAGTGTCCGCCGTGGCCAGGTTGATACCCAGGCCACCTGCCCGGGTTGAGAGGAGGAAGCAGAACTGCTGGGCCCCAGGGGCTGAAAAAGAGAGGCCAGCAGATGGGGTGTTTGAGGGAGTACACCTTGGGTGGGGAGAAGCGGATGGCAGAAAGAAGCAGCGGGGAGAACAGAGGGAAGGAACTGCAGCAACAGGTCCCTGGCAGAGAATTACAAAGCAAGAGACCCCATCAGAGATGAGAGGCCACAGCTGCACTCAGGGGAACCAGAGAAGGCCCGCTCAAGCCCACTTAGCCCCGGCGGTGCTCTGAGCCCTGGCCCAATGGGAGGGTGCTAGAATGAAGAGGAGGTCAATTTTCAAATCCCAGATGAGCAAAAAATAAAGTGGTTGTTTGGCCGGGCACAGTGCCTCATGCCTGTAATCCCAGCATTTTGGGAGGCTGAGGCAGGCGGATCACCTGAGGTTGGGAGTTCAAGACCAGCTTGACCAACATGGAGAAACCCTGTCTCTACTAAAAATATAAAATTAGCTGGGCATAGCCGAGATCACTCCATTGCACTCCAGCCTCGGTAAGAAGAGCGAAACTCCGTCTCAATTAAAAAAAAAAAAAAAGTGCAAGCAGCCAGCAAGTGCAGGCAGAGCCTCCAGAAAGCTCAGTCCTCCATGTCCCCCCAGCTCCCCACCCCGGCTTCCCTTAGCCCATCAATGCCACCAGAGTGGCCAGGGAACACTCAGGCACAGCTCTGGGGCCTGGGGTGCCACCCTGCTGGGCAACCCTGTCACAGGACGGCTGGTTCTCAGCCTCTCAGGGCCCTTCAGTGACCTGGGACTGACCACAGCCCCCACTGGAGCTGCAAACAGGCCCCCCGCCCACCCAGCCACTCCTGCTTCCGCATGTGGCTGGGCCACGTCTAGACCCCAAAACTCTGAACTTGCTATTTCTCCTGGCTCTCTGGCATGAGTGTGTGAGAGGAAGCACTGCTTTGGGTGTTTGGGTAGCGTGGCCCCAGCCTCTTTCTAAGGCCCAAAGCCCCAGGGAAACAAAGCTTGTTGCTATTTGCTGCAAACTTGCTCCTAAAGCTTGCAGCTGAGTGCTCCCCGCTCCAGAAGTTTCCTTTGCTACAGAGGGAGCTCCATGGGCAAGACCCTCCTGGCCTCCACCCTTGCCTCTCCCTCCCAGATGGGGAAGACCAAGCATGGGTGATTCTGGCGAAGAACCTGATCATGTGTGGCCCGGCCCCTTCACTCTGTCCTGCCTCTGGAAGTGGCCCCAGGCAGCACATGCATCTCTGTACCTCCTGCCACCATTCACCATACAGCAGGCTCTGTCCAGCACCGCTTATAACTGGGGCTTACCTGGTGTCAGCATTAGAGGCCCCCGTCTGCATTGTCTGTTTCTCACTCTGTTCCCAACAAGTGTTATCTACTGGGCCCCTCGGAACTCCGATTCCATGGGAAGAATCCTTTTAACACTGGAAGCTCAGGGGAAGCTACCATGACCTCAGGACTAGCCTGCTGTCTTCAGCTATGTGTGGGGCTGATGACACAACACTGGCTGGGTGGCCTGGCTAAGAACCTGGCCTGGGAGAAGAGGCCAAAAAGGGGTCCCAATCAGAGCCCCTGGGCAGGATGGGGTACCATTGAATCTGTCGATCGCCTCCTGTCGGAGGCCCCCAGTGATGCCGCCGTCAATCCGCTCATACTTGTAGCCTTCGTACTCCAGGAAGTCCTCCAGCAGGTCCAACATCTTGGTCATCTGCGGGGCAGACAGGCACGTGAGGAACTGCCAAGGAGCAAGGGTCCCAATAGGCCATGGGCAGGGACCCCACGGTCCCAGAGAGCTGCCTGCTGGGTAGGGAGACAGCTGAGATCCAGGCAGACCCAATGCAGGACTCTGGGGAAGAAGATAGTTTCCACCCTCACCCCTCAGAGTCAATCCATCCTCCCAACCACCCCCACAGTGACCTGCCTAAATCAGGGCTCTGACATGAGCTTCCCTGCTCCCACCACACAGAATTAAGTTCCATCTCCTTGCCCTGCATTCAAAGCTCTGCAGGACTAATGCTCCTTTACAGCCCCCAGCCATTCCAAACTACCTGACTCTGTTCCTGGAAAACACAAACATCACCTCTGTGATGTCTTCCCTGATTTCACTCCTCTCCATGAGAAAAGAAAAGCAGTCCTTTCTGAGCTCCATCACCCCGTGTAATTCCCTTTATTCTTGAGGGATAGTTTAGCTGGGTATAAAACTATCAGCACATATGTTCCCTCAGGGCACTGGAGATTTTGCCATGGTCTTTGCCACCTGTTGTTGCTGAGAAGTCTGAGAACAATCTGGTTGCCCTTATTTTGTAGATGCTAGATCTAAAGTACCTAGGGGTTCTAAAGTGTCTAGGGGTTCATTTATTTGTATTTATCTTGCTTGGTACTCCAGAATGCACTCCAGATCTGAGACCTCAAATCTCTCTAGGTTTGCAAACGCTCAACAAATCCAACTTCTTCACCATTTTTTCTATTTTTTTCTGCAACTCCAATTGGATGATTGTTGGAGCATCTCAAGGTATCTTCCATATTTTCTCTGTTTTATCTCTGTCCCTGTACAGTGCATTCTGGGGAAATGCCTCAGCACCAGGTTTCAGTTCATCAATGTTCTCTTCAACAGTGTTCAGTTTGTCCAGTCTGTTGAAATGTTTTTATTTCAATTTCACGCATATCATGTTTCCATCCAATTGTTCCTATTTCAGCTCTTCCTGCTTTTGCTTAATTTCTTATTTTAGGGTGTCAATTACTCCATTATTTTTGAGGATCTTAATCACATCTATATAAAGCCTTTTCAGGTTATCTTATTATTTTTCTCTCTCTATCTTTTAAGAGACAGGGTCAGGGCCGGGTACTGTGGCTCACACCTGTAATTCCAGCACTTTGGGAGATGGAGGCAGGTGGATCACAAGGTCAGGAGATCGAGACCACCCTGGCTAACATGGTGAAACTCTGTCTCTACTAAAAATACAAAAAAATTAGCTGGGCGTGGTGACATGCGCCTGTAGTCCCAGCTACTCAGGAGGCTGAGGCAGGAGAATCATTTGAACCCAGGAGGCAGAGGTTGCAGTAAATTGAGATTGCGCCACTGCACTCCAGCCCGGGCAACAGAGCAAGACTCCGTCTCAAAAGAAAAGATAAAAAAAGAGACAGGATCTTGCTCTGTCACTCAGACTGGAGTGAATTGGCAAGATCATAGCTCACTGCAACAGTGAACTCCTGGGCTCAAGCAATCCTTCTACCTCAACCTCCCAAATCATTGAGATTACAGGGTGAGCCACTGCACCCAGCCCTTATTTTTTAATTTGGATTCTATTTATCACTTTGGGGGATGTCTTGGCATTCGCTTTTCTATGGGTTTGGAATTAGAGTTCATAGGCTCATTTTGGGCAGGAGGGACCCATCTCTGTCGCTTGCCCTGTGTGCACATTTCTGGAAGCTGTGTGGTTCCCGTTACTTGATCTCTCAAGGCCTCTGACCAGATTTGTGTCTCGTGTTGGTACCAAGGTGTGGGGGGGATGTGGAGCCATTTCCACTCCAGCAGACTCCTTGGCTCAGCCCCTGGTCTCAAGTTTGCCCTGCTTTCCAGTATTCTTCGGAATACTATGACCTGAGGCTACAGGCTGTGGACGCCGCTTTCAGTTGATGTTTGTGCACGAGGAGCCATAGCCCAGACTCTGGCTTTGAGCAAGGGCCTGGCTCAATCAGCCACGAGAGGGGTTTTTTTTTTTTTTTTTTTTGAGATGGAGTTTCGCTCTCGTTACCCAGGCTGGAGTGCAATAACACAATCTCGGCTCACTGCAACCTCCGCCACCTGGGTTCAGGCAATTCTCCTGCCTCAGCCTCCTGAGTAGCTGGGATTACAGGCATGCGCCACCATGCCCAGCTAATTTTTTGTATTTTTAGTAGAGACAGGGTTTCACCATGTTGACCAGGATGGTCTCGATACCTTGACCTTGTGATCCACCTGCCTTGGCCTCCCAAAGTGCTGGGATTACAGGCGTGAGCCACCGCGCCTGGCCGAGAGGGGTATTTTTAATCCCGTGACTCTGCAGGGTCATCACTGTGGCCTCCAACACAGAGCTGACTACAGGGTTGGGTGCCTGTCCCGTCACTGTCTCCTACAGTAGACTGAGCAGCTGGAGGACAAAGGACTAGATCACTGGTCCCTGCACCCATGTGCCAGCACAGAGCCTGACTATGACAGATGCAAACAAAGGGATGGAGGAAGAAATGAACACATCAGAGGCCGGCAGCCCTGCCGCCAAGCCAAAAAGCCAGGTGCCAGTGGCCCCTCAGGACCTGTTAGAGACGGGATCCTCCCGACCCCACCCCAGGGTCCCCCCTCTTAATGAGAAGCCAGGCTGCAGGGGAGAGGGCCAGGGGAGGAGGGAGCTGTCCAACCAGCCTGGACAGGCAGACCAGAAGGGCAGGTGCTCCTTACAGCAAATGTGCTCTTAGCTCCTCAGCTGCACCACGCCAGGGCACGGGAGTGACCCCTGACACACAGTCACATGACCCACATGGGACCAGCACTGAGCCCTGAAAGATGCCAGCAAGATTGCGCCCCCAAGCATCAGGGCAGGACGCTCTCTGTGGGGCATGGAGCCAGGGCAGAGGGGGCGGGGACATGCACCTGAGAGAAGATGAGCACGCGGTGTCCCTCGTCCCGCAGCTTCTTCAGCATCTTCTGCAGCAGCATGAGCTTCCCTGAAGACTTGACGAGGGAGCTTCCATCGTAGGAGCCATTGGGCAAGACGGGGGCCTCCTGCAGACATAGCAGGAGGTGGGGCATTGGTGGGCTTCCCTCTCCTCTCTGACTCTGCACCAAAGGGGCCGCAGGGAACAGACAGGTGCCAAGCAATGGGGTGACGGCCTGTCTGACCCACTGAATATAAGACCCACACCTGAGCCAGGCCAGGCTCCACAGTGTGGGGTAGATGTGGGTCCCATGGCCCTGGCTCCAGGCTCCCTGTCCCCAGGCAGGGCTCACAGCCACACCAGCCCTACCACAGCAGTGGGTTCCATGGTAGGTTCCCCAGCACCTACCACAGCGGCCACAGGCAACCTACCATGACGGCCAGGGAAATCTACCACGGCAGCCACAGAGAACCCGCCACGATGGCCAGAGAATCTATCACAACGGCCACAGGGACCTACCACAGCTGCCACAGGCACCTATCACAGCGGCCATGGAGAACCTGCCATGATGGCCGGGGGGAACCTACCACAGCGGCCACAGGCAACCTACCATGACGGCCAGGGAAATCTACCACGGCAGCCACAGAGAACCCGCCATGATGGCCAGAGAATCTATCACAACGGCCACAGGGACCTAACACAGCTGCCACAGGCACCTACCACAGCGGCCATGGAGAACCTACCACGGCGGCCACAGGAAAGAGGTAGGGGTGGTTGCAGCACTTCTTCAGGTCCATCATGATGTTGAGCAGCGACACTTGGTTCCCGCCCCCCTTGGAGTTCAGCGCCTCGAAGTTCCGCGTGAGGATGAACTTGTAGTACTTCCTGCAGCGGAGAACGGGGAAAGGCAGGCTGGGTGCACCTGATCAGACCCGCCTCTGAGGGGGCTCTCTCTGCCCTGTAGCAGGGCTGGAAGCTGGTGGCCAAGCACCCGTTTATAGGGAGACTCAAGGGAGCCCCAAGAAGGGAAGCCACTGGCCTGGGGTCCCCCTGCAAATGATTCGGGGACACTGCTAGAACTCAAGCGGCCCAAACTCTGGTCACTAAAACCTGAGAGGAGGCCCCAAGAAGAAAGCGTATGCAAAGCATGAGCCCAGGCCTCAGTGAGGCTGAAGAGCCCACCTGGGAAGCAACCCAGGAGACCAGGCCAGTGGAAGGGGCACACAGGCTGCTCCAGGTCAGCCCGCCACTCACTTCTGCATCTGGCTCAGCTCCACGCGGACAATGAGCTCGGTCTTGGCCGGCATGTTCTTGAACACGTCAGCCTTCAGCCGCCTGAGCATGTGTGGCCCCAGCAGGTCATGCAGCTTCTTGATCTGGTCTTCCTTGGAGATGTCAGCAAACTCCTCCAGGAAGCCCTCCAGGTTGCTGCAACAAAGAGCTGAGATAACAAGCAGTAGCAGAGAACCGGGGCAGAAGAGGCAGGGTGCTGAGCGCCCAGCCCGTGTTGGCCGGCTGGCTGGTGGGCCAGGGAGCCCTGGCATTGCCCTGCCTTTCGTCTGAACTTCGGTCTAAGCCTGTGTCGCCCCCACACATCACAGCCCTCTCTTCCTCGGCGACACTGGACACCTTTCCACCCTCAAAACCGTCCTGGACAGGAGCTCTCTGTTACCCAGATAGCAGATGAGGAAACTGAGTCTGATGAGTGCCTGAGTTGATACAGTCCAGCTGTGCCAAAACCTGCCATCAAATCTACATCTCCTGGTTGCTCACACCTGTAATCCCAACACTTTGGGAGGCAGAGACAGGTGGGTCACCTGAGATTGGGTGGTCGACACCAGCCTGTCCAATATGGTGAAACCCGTCTCTACCAAAAACACACAAAAATTAGCCGAGCATGGTGGCACTCGCCTGTCATCCCAGCTACTCAGGAGGCTGAGGCAGGAGAATCGCTTGAACCCAGGAGGCAGAGGTTGCAGTGAGCTGTGATCAAGCCACTGCACTCCGGCCTGGGGAACAGAGCGAGACTCTTTCTAAAAAATAAATTAATAAATAAATCTACATCGCCTGATTCCAAACTCAGCACTCTGCACCCTGAACCCCCAATTCTGAGCAGGAAAACGGAGGTAGGTGAAGATTAGGAGGCTGGGGCAGTGGGTTCCGGCCCCCAGGTGCTTGCCTCTGCCTCTACCACAGTTGCCCATGTTAGTCACCTCGGTCTCAGCAGAGGGAAGGGAACCTGCCAGGGGAGTAGAGGCAGGGATAGGAGCCCAGAAGGGGCCCCGGGTGATCTAGGGCAGAGCTAAAGAAAAGTCGCGATCTTGGCAGCAGTTTCTATTTATCAAACATCCCTGTCTGCCTGTGCCACCCACCCCAACAGCCTGCTCCTGCAGGAGGTCAAAGCAGGGACATCACTTAACGCTCTCATTTTACTAATGAGGAAGCTACAGCCGAGCAGATCTCACAGCCGGGATGGGCTATTGATCCGTCTTCACTGGGGCCACCCCAGCCCCACCACCACCTCCCCCAGCCGGATCCACGTGACTCACTTGAACCTCTCGGGAGTCAGGAAGTTGAGGAGATGGAACAGCTCCTCCAGGTTGTTCTGAAGGGGGGTCCCTGTCAGCAGCAGCTTGTAATCAATCTTGTAGCTGTTTAAGACCCTAAAAAACTGAGGAGAGGAGAAGGGGGCCTGTCAGGGGGCTCTGGGCGGCCCCTCACCCCGGGCGGCTCTGGGGTCTGGCGGCTGGTGCGACCTACCTTGGACTGGTTATTCTTGAGGCGGTGGGCCTCATCCACCACCAGGCAGGCCCACTCGATGGAACCCAGGATGGCCTGGTCGATGGTGATGAGCTCGTAGGAGGTGAGCAGCACATGGAATTTGATCTGCACTTCTTTCTGGAGAAAAGAGGGGCATTGGGGAGGAGACGGCTGGGAGCAGAGTGGGCGGATCACAGTCCGAGGACACAGAGCCAAGAAGGAGGTGGGCACATGAACCCACACAGAGGCTCCAGGGAGCCCCAGGCCAGCCAGCCTGGGACCAGAGGGGCAGATGCTGGCCACCGAGCAGAGGGGCATCCACCGAGGCCCAGAGCACAGCCCTGGGAGAGGGTGGTGTGGAGGAGAAGGAAACAGACTACAACGGCGATGGCCTCCACTCCTAACAGCAGCAGTGAGACAGGGTCTCACTCCCACCCCCAAAGCCTGGAGTGCAGGGGTGCCATCACGGCTCACCTGCAACGAGAACTCAAAGAGCTAAGCCTGCGCCTCAAAAAATCAAAACAAGAATTCCCATATGATCCGGCAGTTCCACCCAAAAGAAGTGAAAGCAGGGACCCAAAGGGATGTCTGCACATCCATACTGCTTCCCTAAAAGCCAGAAGCAACCCATGTGCCCCTCAACAGACAAATAGACAAAACGTGGTCTGTCCGTGTGATGGAATGTTCTCCAGCCTTGGAAGGAAATTCTGACCCGTGCTGCAACATGCATGGACCCCAAGGACATTCTGCTCAGTAAAATGAGCCAGTCACAAAAAGACAAATGCTTCTTGATTCTACTCATATGAAGCACCCAGAGTGGTCAACCTCGTAGAGACAGTGGAATGGTGGCTGCAGGGGCTGGAGGTGGCGGAGGATGCTCATGTCTAATGGGGGCAGCGTTTCCATTTTGCAAGATAAAAAGATTTCTAGAGATAGGCTGCATAATAATGTGACTGTTACTTGGTATATTCTCCCGAGTTATTGTTTAAAAAAAAAAAAAAAGAAAAAAAATGTGAATGTACTTAACACTATTGAACATTTTTTTTTTCTGGTTGGGTTTTTTGTTTTGTGTTTTTGAGACAGAGTTTCTCTCTTGTCACCCAGGCTGGAGCGCAGTGGCGTAATCTTGGCTCACTACAGTCTCCACCTCCCAGGTTCAAGCAATTCTCCTGCCTCAGCGTCCTGAGTAGCTGGGATTACAGACATGCACCACCACACCTGGCTAATTTTTGTATTTTTAGTAGAGATGGGGTTTCACCATGTTGGCCAGGCTGGTCTCAAACTCCTGACCTCAGGTGACCTGCCTGCCTCAGCCTCCCAAAGTGCTGGGATTACAGGCATGAGCCACCACCACGCCTGGCTGTTTTTGTTTTTGTTTTTGTTTTTGTTTTTAAGAGACGGAGTCTCACTGTGTTGCCTGGGGAAGAGTATAATGGCTGTTCACAGATGCGGTCATAGCGTACTACAGCCTTGAACTCCTGGGCTCAAGCAATCCTCCTGCCTCAGCCTCCCAAGTAGCCAAGACTACAGGTACACACCACCACGCCCAGCTCAACCGTCCTCTTAAAAATGGTTAAAACAGTCAATTTTACATCATGTGTTTTTTTACCACAACTTTTAACAATAAAATAATTAAACAGTAAATATATAATAGAAAAGCCAAATCAGCGAAGTGCTTGGCGCACAGCAGGATCCCGTGTGGGCTCAGGGGAGGTTCTTTTTATGTCTATCTGATCCAGGGGTTCATCCATCTACAAAGTCACCTGTGGGATCACAGACTCGTTCACTCATTCAGCAGTTTCCAAGCATCTCCTAAGTGCCACAACTGCCAGGAGACGGTGGAGAAAGCCGCCATGGGAAAGTCCAAGGGCCTGTGAGAGGGTCCACCAGCCCCCAAGGCCGCAGCGCTCATGTTTTCCAGGGGCCAACGGCTGCAAGTCCTTGCTCCTCAATGTGGAGAGTGTTTAGCAATGTAGACGCTCAGGCCAGGCACGGTGGTTCACGCCTGTAATCCTAACACTTTGGGAAGCTGATGCAGGCAGATCGCCTAATCTCAGGAATTTAAGGCTAGCCTGGACAACATGGGTCGTGTGTGGAGGAGAAGGGTGGTGTGGAGAACAAGGAAACCAAATGTCTCTATTAAAATACAAAAAAATGTGCTGGGCATGGTGTCACATGCCTGTAATCCCAGCCACTCTAAAAAGCTGAGGCGTGGGAATTGCTTGAACCTGGAGGCAGAGGTTGCAGTAACCTGAGATTGTGCCATACGGCACTCCAGCCTGGGCAACAGAGTGAGATTCCGTCTCAAAAAATAATAATAACTAATTGGAGCCAGGTGCGGTGGCTCACTCCTGTAATCCTAGCACTCTGGGAGGCTGAGAAGGGCAGATCACTTGAGGTCAGGAGTTCAAGACCAGCCTGTCCAACATGGTGAAACCTGTCTCTACCAAAAAATACAAAAATTAGCCAGGTGTGATGGTGTGCTCCTGGAGACCCAGCTACTCACAAAGCTGAAGTGGGAGGATCACTTGAACCCGGGAGGGGGAGATTACAGTGAGTCGAGATGGTCCCACTGCACTCCAGCCGGGGTAACACAGTGACATCCTGTCTCAGAAAAATAAATACATAAATTAAATAATAATTAGCTAAGATGAGGTCATACTGGATTGGGGTGGGCCCTAAATCCAGTATGAATGATGTCTTTCTAGGACAAGAGAGACACGAAGGGGAAAACCCCATGTGCTAACAGAGGCAGAAACTGACGTGACACAGCTGTAGGCCAATGAACGTCTGCTGCCACCAGGAAGCTGGAAGGAGGAAGGAAGAGTCCTCCCCTACAGCCTTCAGAGGCAGAAGGCCCTCCAGAACTGTGACAGAATGCATTTCTGCTGTTTGAAGCCACTCCATTTGTGACACTTGTTACAGGAGGCCCAGAAAACTGACACGGTGGTAATTCTGCCTCTAGGACAAGCCCTTCAGAGCCTGCCGGCCTCAGCAGCCCTCCCGGCTGAGGGACCCCAAAGGAGGGCAGGGCACCTGTGGTCCCCAAACCAGACCCGGGGCCTCCCTACCGTCCTTCCAAGGATGGCGAGCCCCCACCTTCATGCGGAACACCTTCTTCCCACTCCGAATGGCATTGTCCTCAAAGGAAAATTCGTTCTCCCGGATCACAGAGCGGCTTTCCTTGTCCCCCGTGTAGGTGACCACGTAGAAGTCGGGCGCCCACATCTCAAACTCGCGTTCCCAGTTGATGATGGTGGAGAGGGGCGCACTCACCAGGTAGGGCCCCTTGGAATGGCCCTGGAGAGAGGGGCCAATACCGTGAGACTGCCCACCCTCGGCCAGGACCGGCCCCCACCTCCTGGCCACCCACCCCACCTGCCCACCTCCTTGTACAGGGAGTAGAGGAACACGATGGTCTGCACCGTCTTGCCCAAACCCATCTCATCGGCCAGGATGGTGTCAGTGCCCTGGGCCCAGGAGAAGCGCAGCCAGTTGAGGCCCTCCAGCTGGTACGGGTGCAGCGTGCCACCCGTGGAGTCGATGTACCACGGCTGCTTGTCGAACTTGACCGTGGGCTGCAGGAGAGGCAGCGGTTCAGACATGCCCCAGATCCTGGGCCACCGGAGTCCACCCTAGAGGCCTCTGCACGTGCAATTCCTTCTGCCTGGAATACTCTTCCCACTCTTCCCTGTCTTTCTAACTCCTCTTCATATCTTGGATGGAATGCCTCTTCCTCCAGGAAGCTCTCCCGGACTCCCACCCCGGCTGAAGTGTTCCCACAATGTCCTCCCATGGCGGCCCTATACTTTTCCTTCTCAGGGAAATTTCCCAACTGCTGAAGTCTCTGACTTTGAGCCCAGGTTGTCATCGCCACCTTGGTCCTATTCACTGCCTCCTCTAGAGCCCCATACAGGGACTGGGACATGTGGTCACTTCTTCACTATTTGTTGGGTGAACAACAAAAACAAATGTCTATCTGGGGCACTCTCAATGGCCCCAGTAACTGGCTCCTCCACTCGATCCAGACGTTTGCTTTTTTTTTTTTTTTTTTTTTTTTTTGAGACAGAGTCTTTGTTGCCCAGGCTGGAGTGCGGTGCCATGATCGTGGCTCACTGCAGCCTCAATATCCTGGGCTCAAGGGATTCTCCTACCTCAGCCTCCCTAGTAGCTGCGACCACAAGAACACCACCATGCCTGGCTAATTTTTTAATTTTTTGCAGAGGTGGGATCTCACTATGTTGCCTCAAACTTCTGGGTTCAAGCGGTCCTCCCACGCCCCACAGTGCTGGGATTACAGGCCTGAGCCACTGTGCCTGGCCCATTTGCCTCTTGATACTGCTCAAGGTCATGGCCCCTATGCAGTCCTCCCCATGGACCAGACCCACCCGCCTTTCCCCAGCATCTGACAGGCGAGGGATAGTCCCAGGCCAGGCCCTCCGAGTTCTGTGGATACCTGCCACAGGCCCCTAGAAGACAATGTGTCTTCTGAAACAGCTGCCCAGGGCTCACTGTCCCTCTTCTACTGAGGGCCAAGCCAGGGCCAGGCACTAGCGGACACCCAGGGAGCTCTGCTGAGTGGGTTGCCCTGGGTCTCCTCCCCGCTGAGAGTGCTGCAGTGCTAGGAGGGACCTTCCAGCTGTCCTAGCCTACATGGGCACGACGCTGTGTGCATAAGCCATGAGGGCCCAAGAAAAGGTCCTTTTGAGAACACACCCCCACTGCGCGTTCAAGTCTAGGGTGGGCAGGCCCTGGCAACCCCGCCCACTGCTGCCCCGCCCTCCCCACTCACATCAACAATGGGCGTGTCCGGAGGCTTCTCCTGCTTGTCATCCCTCAGCTTCTTGCCCTTCTTGAGCAGCCTCTTGGGCAGCCTGCTGTCTTCTCCCAGCATCAGCTCCCTGGGAAAAGGCATTGGACGCAGGTGAGCAGGGCGCAGCCCAGGAGCAGGCTCCGGCAGCCCGTGCCCAGCAGCCGGATCCCCGAGGCCCACCTGTGGCCCCAGTAAGCCTGCTTGAGGTTGTCGTAGTAGGGGATGTCGATGTCATCGATCTCCCAGGTGCACTGGTCGTAGGGCAGGTCTTTCCACTTGATCAGGTAGTGCACATCCCCCTTTTTGTCAAAGCTGCAACACAGTGAACAGATGTGGGTCACTCAGGGCAGTGGCCACCACACGGGTTTGATGAAGGGCACCTCCCAGGATGCAGAGCCTCTCACACCCAGGGTGCCCTCAGATCCCAGGCCCAGCCAGGGGGAGGGTACTAGGGCAGAAGCTCCAGGGAGGCACAGCAGCTTGCCTGAGGCCACACGGTGAATGAGAGGCGGATGGGACAGAGACTGAGAGGGACACTGAAGCCAGCTAACGGAGAAGCAACGGGCCAGCCTCCAGCATCCTTTGCAGCCTCTGTGGCAGGGATGATCCCATTTGGCACAGGGTCTGGGTTTTCACAGGAGTTGTGCATTTCTAAGTTAGAAAATTCTCTTTCCTGCCCATGGAATCAGTTTTCTAACTTAAAATATCCGGAGGACTCCTGCAGTGCCCATGTAGGATGAGAAGCTGTCTCTGCAGAGCAGATAAGGATGCAATTCCTGCAGGTGAGGCAGTCTCTTCTGGGGACACTGGGACCCAGTGACCAAGCCCGGCAGCACACAGCTTGATTCTGGCCACTGGGAGGGGCCTCAGGGCCTCCCACCCCACCCAGGCTAAGGAAACCAGGCCAGAGGAGTGCTGCAGGGCTGGGGCAGGGCATGGATCCCTGACACACAGTGCCCAGGTGCACAGACCAGGTGAGAAGCGGCTGCTGCGGGCCTGGGGGCCATTAAAAGACCAGGCTGGGCACGGTGGCTCATGCCTGTAATCCCAGCATTTTGGGAGGCCAAGGCAGGCAGATAACGAGGTCAAGAGATCGAGACCATCCTGGCCAACATGGTGAAACTCCGTCTCTACTAAAAATACAAAAATTAGCTGGGTGTGCTGGCGCGTGCCTGCAGTCCCAGCTACTTGGGAGGCTGAGGCCGGAGAATTGCTTGAACCCCAGAGGCAGAGGTTGCAGTGAGCCAAGAGAAAGACCAATCCCCAGTTACCATGGAAACCGATATTTGTTTGTTTTCCAATACATAATTGATTGTTTTGCAGATTGCAGGAATAAATCTGGGGGAAATTCACCTGTCCCACTTTGGGGCAGAGAGAAAAATTACCATGTATATTTTTAGCATGCAATTTAGTAAAGGTAGAAAACCGTGAGCCAGTTTACTGCTGGGCTCAGGTTCCCATAGGAGCTGACACTTGAAGGGCCATTCTCAGGAGGAATGAGGAGGAAAAGAGGGGGTCCCAGAGTTGAAGGGGGAAGCTTTTTAAAATTCCGCATCCCTCCTACTGAAGATCGCCTCCAGCCAGCCTTGGGCAAGCTCCCCTCATCCTCACACCAGCCTGTTCCCCACAAGGGCCTCAAAGCCCAGCAGTCAAGAGCCAGGATTGAAATCTGAACATCTGGCTCAGGCTCTGAACCTCTGCTCTGCCCAACAGCTGCCTGAAGCCAGAAGCACTGAGTGGCAGAGGCCACTAGATCCTAAGCCCCTCAAAGTCAGAGGCCACAGGGTCACCGGGGTGGGAAGCGCAAGCTCAAGCTGCCACCACACAGCAAGTACTCTGGGCCCGACCCAAGGCCCATCTGTCAGCCACCACCAGTTCTCAAGCACCTAAACTCAAGAATCAGCAGGAGTTCCCCCATCCACCAAATCAAAACCAAGGCCCACGGGCCTCCTGCCTCAGGCTCCCTGCAGCAGACTCTGATTGCTAAGGCGTCCCCGGAAATGTCCAGACTGCTCCAGGAAGACCTGCTCCTGGGGCCCTGCTAAGAAAGTAGGTCCTGCCATCAGAAAGTGTGGGGTTCAAATCCCAGCTCCGCCCCATGGCTGTGTGATTCTGCCTATTCTCACATCAGTAAAACAGAGGTGAAAATAAGACGTCTCCCTCCTAGGGTAGGCGTGCTCAGTAGTGCCAGCTGCTGTTACAAACGTGGGGGAAATGTGGACAAACTCCCCACACCTCAGGCCTCCCGCATCCTAGAACCCGCCTGCTGGTAACAAGCACTAACCCAGCATGACAGTCCCGACCCACCAAGGGTGTGAACATGTGGAAATGAGTGTGCCGACATGCACGGGGCTGCCTCTCCAGCAGGTCAGGCAGATCTCCAGCAGCAGGAGCCCTGGGCCCCTTCCTTGTGCCCCTGCCATGCCCACATGTGGTTCTGCATGGCAGCCCCAAAGCAAGGACGCTGGAGCCCTGCCCTGCACCCATTTTACAGGGCAAAGGAGCTGACGCGGCCTGGCCCCAGCAATGGGCAGGGCGGCCATCTGCAGGCACACACCTATGGTTCAGGACTCGGTGAATCATCATCCACTCTGCCTTGATGCCATAGCGGTAGAAGCGCTCCTCCATCTTGGCATAGAGGGGGTCCTTGTTCTTCCTCTTCTCGCTCTTGCCGTCCTCATCCCCAGAGCCGTAGTCAAAGGGCGGCGGCTCGTCCATGTCATTCTTTCTTTGGTAGTTGCGATACATGACCGTGTGGTACAGCTCCAGCTGCTCACAGAGGGGGCACAAGTCACAGAAGGGAGAGGGGCCGTGGCCCCCTCTATCTCCCTATCCAGCTCCCCTAGCCCCAGCCCAGGTCCCAGGCAAGACAATCCTCCCCTTCAGCAGTCCCCCGACTCCCAACAGCACCCCTAAGTCAGAGGCGCTTCGCCCCTTCCCACCAGCCCTGGAGGATCCAGGGCTCACCAGGTCATGGGCCTTGGCCCAGCCACCCTGCCTGACACTAACCTGTAGCTCCTTCACCCAGGAGCAGTGCCAGTAGGACAGCCCTGCCCACTTGACAAAGAATTCTCTCTCGGGGATGCCCTCCAGCGGCTTGGGTGGAGGGAGGTTGGGCTCCACGTCAGGCCCCGGCAGCCCAACCATGAAGGGGGCAGGGGGCTCCGTCCATCTCCAGTGTAGAATCCGCTGGACCTTGCCCTTCAGTGGGGGGCACTGTGGACAGAGAAGGGTCCCCAAAGTGGGGCTCAGCTGCAGGGCCCCACCCTGAGGCTCCCATGACAGCAGGCTGCCATGCAGCCTCCCTCCCATCAGTGGCGCCGTCCCCAAGTCAGAACAGCACCACAGTGACGCCATGACAACCATCCATCCTCGGGAGCCGCGTGGGCCATGCATGCAGGAACAGGCAGTGCGGGTCTGTGAGTCCACGCAGCCCTTTCACTCAATGGTGAACTTGTCAGCACCCAGAATATCTGGGCCAGGGTAGGTGAGACTGCCACGTGCATAGGGCAAAGGGGGAAACTAAGGCCCACTCAGCAAGGGACAGCAGAGCAGGGAGCAGAAGCTGAGATTCTGGACTTCCCTATCTTAGGTCTGCCCATTGCCCCCTGAAAGGAGGTCACATCACCGCGTACCCACAGCACTCAGGGAGCATAAGCCCCATGCCTGGAGCTCAAGGACACGGCAGCCACATCCACCATCCCTCACCCGAGGCAGGGCTGCACCAGGCACGGTGCGTCTGGGCTGGCACAATGAGGCCCGGTCTCTGGCAGCCCAGAGACACACTGCAGGGGCCCTGACGAATGCTAGGGTGATAGTGAGCCGCCGGCTGGCAAAGGCGAGAAATGCAACAGCCACAAACCCCACCATCTGTGCCCTGCCTGAGAGGCGTGGGAGCAGCCTCGGCCCTCCAAGGAGGCAGTGCTGAGCCTGGCTAGGCAGGGTCGGGGGTGACAGATTCAGGGAGACAGCTCTGTTGGGGAGAGCAGGTCCCAGCTCTGCTACTGCCTGTCCTCAGAAACTCGTCCAAGCCTCCTGAGCCTGCTTTCTCATCTGTACAATGGCCCACCCCTTCCTCCACCTACCAGGATTGTGGTGCCTCCTCACGCCTGAAGGCATGCTGGAGGTGCAATGTACACCACACAGCAAGCCTCCCTTTGGCCTTGGTGACAGCAAAGGCCGAGAGGCAGAGGAGGAAGAGGAGGTGGGAGGCAGAAGAGGCTCCTCCACTGGCTCTGGAGAGGGTGAATGGGCACCCTTCCTACCCAGGCCATGGACCCTCCCACACCCATCCCAACCCTGCACAGAAGAAGCTGGAGGAACTCACTCCTGTCTCCCTCCCATCCCCAAGGCCTTCCATCAGTCGTAGGAAAGCACAGAAGGCTGAACCCTTCAAAAGGGTCCTCCCCATGCCCCTACACAGAGACGAACAGGCATGTGCACAGATGCACGCACACACATACACACACACACAACACAAGCCCAGATGCACATGGGACAGCCCAGGACTAACGGCGGCACAGCCCAGGACTAACGGCAGCACAGCCCAGGACCTGAGGGGTGGGGATCTAGCACTGTGGCAGGCAGGGCAGACAGCTCAGAGCAAGGGGCCTTTCAATGTCTACTGTGATTGGGGATCGAGGGATGGGGGTGCCCCTCTTCCTGCAGACACTGAGGCTCCAGCCCTAAAAGCCTCCTACCCTCTCCCTACCCCAGCCTCAGAACAGGAGCCAGGTCTGGCTGGGGTGGCTCCAGGGACCTGAATCTGCGTGGACACTTCTACCCTTGTGTGGCCTTAGGCAGGTCACTCTGCTTTCTCACCTAAAAAGAAATAATAAAATGCCTGGTGCCAGAACACCCAGTAATGTTAAAGGACACTGTGACGGATGTGGAGCCCTTGCAGAGCACGTGGTCACTGAACAGTGGTCGTGGTGTTGGCATGATCACCACACCTGTCTGCCTTTTCCTTGCATTCAAGCCTCCCGTCTCTAGGGGAGTCAGCTGCGGAGCAGCGAGCGGGTGGAGCGGAGCGCCTAGAGTGGGCGGGGTCTCAAGCGGCGCGGGCGGGGCTTTGCGGGATCGGCTACCGGGACGTGGCCGCAGCCGGCGGGGGCGGGGCCTATCGGGAAGGGCAGGCCTTCCTCGGGGGGCGGGGCCTGTCCCTGGGGTGGGGCGGGGCGTCGGGCGCGGAGCGGGCGGAACACTCACAGTACAGCGCGGGCAGAGCCATTCACCGTTTGGGATCTCGGGCAGCGGCGGGTTGAGGCAGTGCAGGTGGTAGGAGGAGGGGCAGGCGTCGCAGCAGAGCAGCTCGCCCCCGTCCTTGCACACGCGGCAGAACTCCATGTGGTCGTCCTCCTCCTCCTCGCAGCCGCCCTCCTCCTCTTCGTCGTCGTCGTCCTTCGGCTCCCACTGGATCCCCTCCTTCTCCTGTGGGAGGAGGCCAGGTGGAGGCACCCTGGACCAGGTACCCCCTCCACCAGGGCCCCGACTCCCTCCCTCCCCCCCAGCACCTCTCGACATTCTGCCCCCACAAGGGAACACAGGGGTGTGGGAGCAGGCTCGGCCCCGCCCCCAGCCCGGGGCTCTGTCAGGGCTTACACAGTGGGGGCAGCTCCATTTCCCCTCGGGAGCCTTCTCCAGCTCTGGGTCCAGGCACACGAGATGGTAGGCCCGTGGGCAGGTGTCGCACAGGATGATCTCCCCACCCTGCTGGCACACCTCACAGTAATCCTGGTGGTCCGTCTCATAGCCGTCACCATCATCAACTAGGGTGAGGGAGGGGCAGTCAAGGAACTCCCGGCACACAACCACCTGCACCACCCCAGGCCAGACCGGCACAGGGTAGATGTCTAATAGATGGTGGATGGATAGGTGGGTGGGTGGATGGACTGATGGTTGAGATAGTAAAAGGGTGAGGAGATAGAAAATGGATAAAAGGAAAGAAAGGAAGGAAGGAAGGAAGGAAGGAAGGAAGGAAGGAAGGAAGGAAGGAAGGAAGGGTAGGAGGTGGATGGGTAGAAAGATGGATGGATGGATGGATGGATGGATGGGTGGATGGATGGATGGATGGACGGACAAATGGATGGACAAATGGATGGATGGATAGATGGACAATAGAATAGATGGATGGATGGATGACTGAACAAATGGATGGATGGATGGATGGATGGACAAATGGATGGATGGATAGATGGATGGACAAATGGATGATGGATGAACAAATGGATGGATGGATGGATGGAGAGATGGGTGGATGAACGGATGGACAAATGGATGGATGATGGATGGATGGATGGATAATGGATGGATAAATGGATGGATGATGAATGGACAAATGAATGGATGAAGGATGGATGGATGATGGATGGATGGATGGATGAATGGATGGATAGATGGATGATGGGTGGATGGATAAAAGGAAGTGACTGAGGAAAGGAGGGAGAGGGAGGGATGGGAAGGGGGGTGACGGGACAGATGGGTGTTAAGTGGGTGGGGGTGACTGAATGGGAGGGTGGCGATGGGACGAAGTACTTTCCTCTCCGGTCACCACACCTGCTAATGCAAATGCCCTGGGATAGCTCCCACCATAAGCTCCTTATTCTTTCCTCAGTGGGACAGGATGCCCCTCCCCAGACAGTAGAGACCAGGGTCGTGTGGGAAACACAGGCCCCACCTGGCCAAGGCATGAGGATGCCCTTCCCCTGCTTCCCACAGGGAGGTTTCGTGCCCCACACATCCACCTGGCAGGCCGAGAACCCTCCTGATGGGATTCTGCTTGTGCCCCCTACATCCACCCAGCAAACCAAGAGCCCTCCTGACGGGGTTCTGCTTGTGCCCCCTACATCCACCCAGCAAACCAAGAGCCCTCCTGACGGGGTTCTGCTTGTGCCCCCTACATCCACCCAGCAGACCAAGAGCCCTCCTGATGGGGAGTCCTACTACTCCTCTTCTTCTTGCGCCTCCTCTTGCTCTTCTTGCCCAGGGCTGCAGAGCACTCGGAGCGCACGGAGGCACTGTGGATGCTGGCACTGTCGAAGTCTGACTCCTCCCTCTCGTCTTCTTCACTCTGCAGGGGAGGACAGGGTCCTGTGATCCCAGGGCCTCATCAGGCTTCACTGGCCTTGGCAGTGTGGGGTGGGACAAAGCACAGAAGAGGCTCCGGAGACACAGTGCTCCCTGTGATTCACCTCAACCCCCCACACAGCTGAAAACCTGACATTACAGCACTCATCCAGCCTGATGTCCTACCACCCTCCCAGAGTCCTGCTCTCCAGCATCAGACACTCCCCACAATTTCCACCTCCAAACAGTTCCCCAAGCCCTGCCCTCTGTCCTGCCAAACTGCTAAACATCCTTCAAGAGGCAACCCTAGGGACACCTCCTCCAAGGAGTCTTCCCAGATCTCTCCTTTACTGGACCTATTGCGGCTGCCTATGTGCCAGGTCTGGCCTGTCCCGTCTGACTAGTACATCACAGGCTCTCGACCAGCAAACATGCCTGCCAGGTGACAAGTGCCACAGGACCAGGGCCCACCACGGCTGAGCAGAGGGCCTGGCACACAGTAGGCGCTCAACAAATACCTGCTAAACTTAATTGGACCGTCAGCTCCAGGACAGGCCAATCCTTCTCTCCAGGCTCCCCTCCAGACCTGACACTGGCTTCTGCCAAGGACCAGGGAAAGAGCTTCCAACTCCACCCAACTGCAGGGCTGGGGTGAGCAAGGGGGGCAACTACCCATGGGGGTGAGGAGGGCGAATGCCCCCCACACTCACAGAGAAAGGGGGGCCCCAAGGCTGAGTGAGACCTGGGCTTAGCATCTGAGCCTGGGCCCGGAGCTGGCCCTGAGGACAGGGGTAGATAACTGGGGCTCCAGCCAGCCTGATCCTGCCCACATGCCACTTCTCTAGGCTCCAGCCCTCCTGCAGCTACTCCCCATGACAGGAGACGACAGCGGCCACCATTACAGATTCCTCCACCTGCTGCCCAAATGCAGCTGCGCTGTGGACAACAGGAGCCAGTACTGAGCTCCCAGCTCAGAAGGGTGAGCCAGGGGAGCACTCCTGCCCAGAGTCCAAGCTAAAAGGGCCCTTGGAAGGATTCAGTCTAAACCTCTCACCACACAAATGGAGAAACTGAGCCCGAGCACGCCTGCATGTAGGACAGAAGAAAAGTGGAGGAGGGTAGGACCTGCCTCAGCTAGTTCATAAGGATCTGAAGGTCCCCCTTGGCCCCTGCGTGCTCATGTGCAGACACATATGCATGCAAATGCACACACAAGCACACACACTCACACGTGCACACATGCACATGCACACAAGCACACACACACATGCAAACGAGCACACGTGCACACACGCACACTAGCACACATGCACACACATGTGTACACACACGAGCGCACACGTGCACACATGCAACATGGGCACACACGCACATCCACATGTACACACACAAGCACACACGTGCGCACATGCAACACGAGCACACACGCACACACACGTACACACAAGTACACGTGCACACATGCAACACGAGCACACGCATACACACATGTACACACAGGCACACAAGTGCACACACAATACAAGCATACACGCACATACACATGTACACACACACAAGCACACACGTGCGCATATGCAACACGAGCACACACTCACATGTACACAAGCACACACATGCACACATGCAACACGAGCACACACGCACACATGTACACACAAGCACACGTGCGCACATGCAACACAAGCACACACACGTACACACAAGCACACACGTGCACATGCAACACGAGCACACACGCACATACACATGTACACACACAAGCACACACATGCGTACATGCAACACGAGCACACAGACACGTACACACAAGCACACACATGTGCACATGCAACACGAGCACACACGCACACACACATGTACACACACACAAGCACACATGTGCGCACATGCAACACGAGCACACATGCACACACTCACCGAGGAGCCTTTCTTCCTCTTGTTGCTGATCCCTCCAAAGCGGAACTTGAGCCCGGCCATCTTTTTCCCTTTGCCCTTTTTCTTCCCATCTTTGGAACCTTTGATCTTCTTCCTCACTCCAGGCCCTGAAAAACAGCAGTGACCATAGCCAACCACTGCCACCACCGAGGGCCACTTCCTGCCATCATCTCACTGAGCTCTCAGTTACTCAATAAGGAAAGGGTCATTTCTACCATCACCCTTTTTCAGATGAGATGCCTGAGTCTTGGAGAGGTGAACCCCTCGCTTAAAATCACACAGCAAGTGAGGCCAAAACCAGACAACAGCTCTGACCGGAGGCGGCTCTGACCGCCATACTGCCCCTCGTCCATGACCCACAGAAATGTGGCCTCTTGGGACAAGCCCCTGTACTGTCCCCACCCACCGAAAGGAGGCACTAGCCAGCCCCCACAGCCAGCAGAGCCGCTGAAGGCACAGCTGCCCACTTGTGATCCATGCCTGAGACCTCCTGGAGCCAAAAGCCCTTTTTCCACCAGCCCAACAGACAATGCTGGTCCCACCCAAGACCGTGCCACCTCTGCCAGTTAACCCCAGCAAGGGCCAGCAGGGTGAAGGATGCTTTTATGGAGCTGGTCACAGGGCAATAGCTACCTGTGAGTAATTACCTGGGAGTAATGACCCAGGAAGGAAGCGGGACCTGGAGGCAGGGATGCATGTGCCACAGAGGCGGCCTCTCCCCAGGTCCTCTTCTGGCCACACCACACACAGGGACATGGAGCAAGAAGCCCAGCTGTACCCTCTGTGGCGCCTCGGAAAATCTATTTCAATTTTCCAGGCTCTGAATAAGCAGCTCAAGGAATCGATAGCTCAGCAGCTGGAGCCCGAGAGGAAACAAGAAAACAAGGCAGGCTGGGCAGACGGGGACGGGCAGGGAGCCCCTTTCGAGATCCCGGTGACCTGGACGGATGGAGCAGGACAGGGAACAGGCTCTGACCCTTGTCATTTTGCCCACCAGGCTCCCTTCAGAGACTTGGCAGGATGGTACCAGACACAACCCCCAGAAACCAAAGCTCCCTGGGGCTGAAAGAAGGGATCCCCAAAGCCCCCTCAGCCCCTTCCATCCAAACCCAAATTAGCCAGATGCGGTGGCTCACGCCTGCAATCTCAGCATTCTGGAAGGCCAAGGTAGGTGGATCACCTGACGTCAGGAGTTCAAGACCAGCCTGGCCAACATGGCGAAACCCCATCTCCACTAAAAATATAAAAAATTAGCCAGGTGTGGTGGTGTATGCATGTAATCCCAGCTACTCAGGAGGCTGAGGCAGGAGAATTGCTTGAACCCAGGAGATGGAGGTCGCAGTGAGCAGAGATCATGCCACTGCACTGCAGCCTGGACGACAGAGGAAAAGTCTGACAAAAAAAAAAAAACAACACCCAAATCGGGGAACCAAAGCTGAGTTGCTGGTGACTGACAGCCCTGGGGAGATCAATGCCCTCAACCTCAAGAAGCCAGAAACCCTTACCCAGAAACCTCTCTCCCCACAGCCTGCAAGTCACAGGGGCCTCTGCTGCCCCCCACCCTCCCCACCCAGACACCCTGCCACTGAGGCAGAATTTGGGTCTAACCTCCTTCCAGGCCTGTCCCAGAATAGCCTCCCTGGGAAGCCAGACCTGGCCATGCCCAGTCCCTGCTCCAGCTCCTGCCTGCTTCCCAGATCCTAAAGCTGGAGGGGCAGGGCCTCCATGCTCCACGCTGGCCGAGGGCCTGGAGAACCACCCTGCACACAGTGGGTATGCAGACAAGAGGGAGACACGGGATCAACTGCGGCCTCCTCCTCCTCCCCAGGAATGGCACAGCCTCAAACCCAAGAGCCTGCCAACTCCCAGAAGCCCAGAGCAGCTCCACTCTGTGCACCTCTGTTTCCGCACTCCCTCCAGGCCCCGTCGAGGGGGCCTCCCGGCTGGCCAGGCTCAAACCTCCCAAACCTCTGCCCACATCGCCACCTCTGCTTCTCCACCAGCCCCAAAAGGTAGGCAGCCACAACAGAGGCGACCATGCTGCCTCACTGCCGAGAAAGGATCCATCAATCAAAGGTCACAGGCACAGGGCCCTGAATAAGGAGCGGCCAGCCTCCGCTCCCTGCCCGGGTCTGCCTGCCCGGGTCTGCCTGCCCAGGTCAGCCCCAGCCGCCCCTTCCTTCCAGGGCCTGCCCCAGCTGCCCCCCACCACCAGGGACTGCCCCAGCCACCCCTCACTGCCCAGGTCTGCCCCAGCTACTCCCACTGGCCCAGGTCTGCCCCAGCCACCCCCCTCCACGTCAGGGTCTGTCCCAGTCGCCCCCTATGCCCAGGTCTGTCCCATGGCTTCTCCTACAGTGTCTGAGGGGGCCTCTGCCCAGCAGGACTAGGTGCCCACCCGCCCCCAGCCTCACCCTTGCCCTCCTTGGTCTTGGCCTTGCGGATAGGCACAGGCTGGGGCGCCTGCAGGGGGCTGACGGCTAGCGGAGGGGAGATGGTGACAGTTTCTACAGCCGCAGCCACCGCCGCCGCCGCTGCTGCCGCCGAGCTGCCCTTGAAGGGGTTGTTGGCGCTGAACTCCCGCCACTTGGCACCCAGGACAGTCATCATTTTGGACATGGGGATCTTCGGGTTCTTCTTGGCGATGAGTGGCCTGTGTGGGGAGAGGCAGGAGGGTGAGAGCAGGGCCAGGTGGGATGAGAAGCCCACCCAACCCCCAGCAGGGCCCACCCCTCTGCCCCGCTGAGGCAGAGCCCTGGGTTCCTGATTAGAGAAACTAGGCAAGGAAACCCACTGACAACAGCCTCCCCAGCAAAACACCCCAGCTTCCTGTCCACACAGTTGACTATTTTCTCATCGGGTTTTCGGGCGCTGCAAGAATTGAAGGGCCAGCCGGGCATGGTAGCTCACGCCTGTAATCCCAGCACTTTGGGAGGCCGAGGCGGGCAGATCACGACGTCAGGAGTTCGAGACCAGCCTGACCAACATGGTGAAACCGCATCTATACTAAAAAAAAAAAAATTTAGCTGGGCATGGTGGCGCGTGCCTGTAATCCCAGCTACTCAGGAAGCTGAGGCAGGAGAATCGCTTGAACCCAGGAGGCAGAGGTTGTGGTGAGCCAAGATCGCACCACTACACTCCAGCCTAGGCGACAGAGGGAGACTCCGCCTCAAAAATAAAGACTTGAGAGGCCACAGTGGCCTCAGAGTCTCCATCCCACCTCTACCAGAGCTGAGAGGCCATGGTGGTGAAAGATGTTCCAGGAAAGACTGGAACCACCTTCCCCAAGGGGAAGAGACTTGAGGGCCCAGGGCCAGGCCCCGCAAGGGAAGGCCTGGCGGTCTGTTAGCATGAGGGGGTCCTGACCCTCCCTCCAGCTCCCCCAGGTTGCTGAGTCTGTCTGACAGAACCCACCCGTACCCCAGGAGCCCAGGCTTCATTCCTCTGTCTCCCTCCTGACTTGGTGGCACCCAGGGGGTATGCAGGCCTCGAAAGCAGCCCTGGCCCCGGCCCACCTGAGGAACTGGCTGAAGGCCTTGTAGTTGGTCAGCGTGTGGTAGTCCTCCTCCGAGAACAGGTAGTCCACGTCGTCCAGGCCCCACTCAGCCATGAGCTGCCCTGAGGACTTGGGCTCCTGCAGAGACCCAGGCCAGAGGCAGAGCTGTTGGGGGGCCTTCTAACCTGCACCCCCATCCCCAGGGTCTCTGCCTAGGAGGCTTCGGCAGAGGGGAGAGAGCAGGGGACATGCCTGCAACATAACCAGACTGTTCTCAGCCACCCTAGGAAACACACTCACACCCCAAAGCCCCCAAGCGCCCGATCTGTACTGAGTCTCTGATGCCCACTCATGGGGGTGCAGGCCAAGTGTTCAATGTCAGGGTTTGGGGAGAGGTCATGTGCATGCCCAGAACCTCCAGAAAGTAAAACCAGCCAGTTGTGGGAAAGGAGACTGGATGCCTGAGACCAGGCCCTCATCTTGAGATAGGGCTGCCCAACTGGCCTCAGGTCGCCAGAGCAGGACAACACACAGCTCTCCCTCTGGGAAGAATTAAATGCATTCTGGGAATTTGGGCCACAGGACAGCACAGTGGCCTGAAGACAGGAAGATGGCCGTGATGAGGGTGCAGGGCTACAGAGCTGCCTGAGCCCTATAGAAAGACATGAGGCAGCTGGGCACAGTGGCTCAAGCCTGTAATCCCAGCATTTTGGGAGGCCAAGGCAGGTGGATCACCTGAGGTCAGGAGTTCAAGACCAGCCTGACCAACATGAAGAAACCCTGTCTCTACTAAAAATACAAAAATTAGCTGGGCGTGGTGGTGCATGCCTGTAATCCAAGCTACTCAGGAGGCTGAGGTGGGAGAATCGTTTGAACCCAGAAAGCAGAGGCTGCAGTGAGCCGGGATCATGCCATTGCACTCCAGCCTGGGCAACAAGAGTGAGACTCTGTTAAAAAAAAAAAAAAAAGAAAGAAAAGAAAGAAAGACATGAGGCCTCAAGACCAGGGGCAGTGGCTCATGTCTGTAATCCCAACACTTTGGGAGGCCAGGGCAGACAGATCACTTGAGGTCAGGAGCTTCAGACCAGCCTCGCCAACATGGTGAAACCCGTCTCTACTAAAATACAAAAAGTAGCTGGGCATCGTGGTACACGCCTGTAGTCCCAGCTACTGTATTTGGGAGCCTGAGGCAGGAGAATCACTTGAACTCAGGAGGCAGAGGTTGCAGTGAGCCAAGATCGCACGACTGCACTCCAGTCTGGGTGACAGAGCAAGACTCCATCTCAAAAAAAAAAAAAAAAAAAGACCTGAGGCCTCCCCAGGGTGCCCAGGTATAGCCAGGTCAGCCCCTGCAAAGGGCAGGCCACTGCCAGGTTCCAGTGAACAGAAAGTGCACCCAGCTGGGGGCAGAGCCCTGAGAGGGTCCAACAGCTGCTGAGGCCTGGGGTGGGGGGACATCCCAGGGGCACAGTGAGTTCTCAGGAGAGCTAGCCCAGGGGTCAGGTGACCAGGTGACCAGGCAGCACAGGCTTGCTGGGCTCAGAAAGAGAGGTGCTGGCTATGGGCATGTGCTGGTTCTGATCCTGGCTCTGCCACATACCAGTGGTGAGAGGTGGACAAGTTACTGAACTTTTCTGCCTCAGTTTCTCCATCTATAAAATGGAGATAATGGCACCACCTGCCTTGCAGAACAGAATGAATTCATGAAGGAGCTTGGACTTGGAACAGGGTGTGTCAAAATGTGTTAGCAATTGTTAGCACCCAACCCACCTGCCTTCCTCCCCACTTCTTCCAGGCAGCCCTGAGCTGCCCCCACCCAACCCAATACATTAAGTCAATCAGCACACACACTACCCCTAGGCCAAAGTCTCTGGTCAGGCCAGTCACGTCTTAAGCCAGTCCAGTCACGGGGAATGCTGGTCTCCTGCCTGCACACCTGGACAGGCGAGGCCTGCTCTCCCTCCTGCTGGAGGGGCCAAGATGCCCCGCGCTGCTGCACCCATTCTCAGCCATAAGAGTACCAGCCACGAGAGTGCCAGCCACAAGACTCAGCCATGAGAGTACCAGCCATGAGGGTGCGTGGCCTGAGCCCAGCGATGACACAGCAGAGGCAGAGTGAAAGATGCAAAGAAACAGCGCCCGATAACACCACTGGGTCCCACAGCCCCGAGGCCTCTTGCCTCTCAGTTCTCAGGGCCCTGATCCCACACATCCCTCCACCACCTATGACCCGGAGCTGGGCTTCTGCTCCTGCAACAGAAGGCTACCAGAACCAGCACTGAGAAGCAGCCTGCCTGTGCAGGCTGCGGGAGGGCTCCAGAGCCCATTCTTGACTCCTGTTCTGTGACAGCTCAGGGAAGTCCCCACACAGGGCCCCCTCTGCAGCTGAACTGCCCCCATGGACACACACAACCATTCTTGATGGCACATGGGCCCCTTGGCCCCCACCCAGGACAGCGGAGCAGCAGGTGAGCGAAGGGATGATACTGTTACAGGGTGACCCTGAGTTACTCCCTTACGTGAAGCTTTTGGAACTGTCAGGCTCACGGCGATTATCAGTCTCCGGTGACTCACAACACCCCACTGACTCACAGAATCACCCCGGGTGTCAGGACACCGCCAGGAAGAGCTGCTCCTCCTTTGGCACCTCCCAACTTCAGTCTTGCACATTCATGATTTCTGCCTCACCCGACAGCAGCTCTACTAATATTTACAGAGCGTTTATCTTTAAATTTACAGCCAGCCCAAACTAAGCCTTGGTGTCTCATAAAAGAACAAAGGGAGCGAGCGCAGTGTTCCTGCTTGGCACTGTCATTCGTCCACTGCCTGTCCACCAGCCTCACCCCTGGCCTCTCCCCCTCCCCAAGGAGCCCCACCGTGCAGCTTCGGAGACTCCGGAGCACCTCAGCATGGCCATAAAGGCCTGGCTTGCTTCACATCATTTCCCATGTTCCTGGGGACGCTGGGCCCAGGCAAGAGCTGGCCTATCGCTGTAGCTGCTCTGCCCCACCTCCAGTAGGAGACTCTGGTAATGCCCACCTGGGCAGGATTTCAGGACACAAGTTCCCTTTCTACCATAAACAAAGCTGTCCAGCACTTCTTGCGGCAAAGACTCCATTTGTTGTTTTATTTTTCCAAATCGCTCCAAGCAAGAGGTTCCTGACACTAAACTTGAGCTGGTACTATCTATCACTCTCGCCAGAAATAGCTGCTCACTCGTGCGGGCAAGCTGTTGGCAGAGCACCCAGTACATCAGCAAGATGCGGCACGATTCACCACTGAGCCCTAAATTTCATCCATCCTTTCTGTGCGTGCACACATGCACCCACGTGAGCACACGCACTCACAGCCCCATCTGTGGGTCAGGTGGGAAAGGACGCTCTGGCCCTTCTGACTCAGGCTCTCAGGTCAGAAGGCAGAGAACAGGCCAGCACAGTGGCTCACACCAGTAATCCCAGCTCTTTGGGAGGCCGAAGCAAACAGATCACCTGAGGCCAGGAGTTCAAGACCAGCCTGGCCAACATGGCAAAACCCCATCTCTACTAAAAATACAAAAATTAGCCAGGTGGGGTGATGTGCACCTGTAGTCCCAGCTATTTGGAAGGCTGAGGCATGAGCCACGGCACTCCAGCCTGGGCAACAGAGCGACTCATCTAAAAAAAAGAAAAAAGAACAGACAGGCAAGAGGCTCAGCCTCTCCAAGGGCGATGTCGCTCTGTCCCCCCAGCCAGGCCTCCATGGTTACCTTTAAGCATCCATCATCATTTTCATCCTCATCCTCATCCTTCTTTTTTCGCTTGGCTTTCTTCTCCTTCTTGTCCTTAAGTTTCTTCTTCTTCTTTTTATTCGGGGAGTAGTCACTGCCTTCACTCTCCGACTTCTCTTCCAGATCATCTTCATTCTCTGATAGCTCATCATTGCTCCCCTGGAAAAGACGGGGGACAGTGAGGGCAATGGAGGCCCCAGGAACATCCAGAGTCCTGGACAGCAGGATGGCCCTGAGAGCCACCTCCTGACCCATGCTGGGGATCAGTCACCCCACTCAGCATCAGGGGCCACTGCTCATGCCTCAGCCCCAAAGCCCAGCCAAAGGGGCAACCCCGAGCCAGCCTGAGCCAAGTTTCGCCCCCAGGGACTATGCCGCAGGAAGCAGTGGAGCCTGCAGATGAGGCAAAGTGAGGCTCTTGTGAGAGCAGAACTTCCCCACCGGCAAGCTCAGCTGGGGCTACTCCCACAGCCCTGCTGCTCAACTCAGGATCTGCTTCAGTCATCATCAGGCTTCTACAAACTTTGGGGGTCTAACCAGTGTTACATGCCGGGGCACGGATGCAGGAGCTGGTGGTGGAGGATGTGATCCCAGAGTCAAAAAGCAAAGTGCACAGGAAGAGCCCCAGCCAGGGAAGGGCCCCAGCCAGGGAAGGGTCCCAGCCAGAGAAGAAAGAGCCCCAGCCAGGGAAGGGCCCCAGCCAGGGAAGGGTCCCAGCCAGAGAAGAAAGAGCCCCAGCCAGGGAAGAGCTGCTGCATCACGGGCTCCAGCACAGCAGCTCTCCACTTAAGTTCACATTCCACGGAACTGCGTTCGTCAGGTGAGATCTGTAATCAATGCAGCGTGCACATCCTGGCTTTCTCTGTGTGCGGACTCTGCAGACACTGCTATGGAAGGCACATGCTCACCTTCCCCCACTCCCATCCCCACCCTGGCCGCTTCCTCTCCGTACGAGACAAGGTAATTTAGGCAGCTCTTAAGCTTGGCTTCCTTGATTTAGTTTCCTGTCTGTACAGGCAGAAAATGGCCCATTTATATGGAGATAAGGGCATCCACAACCAGAGCACCCCACCAGAGAGGTACTGCCCCTCAGAGAAAGCAGTTTACTTGTGGCCTTTAGAGACAAGAGTCGACTGGCAAAGCCCTCTACAACCCCTTCTCAGGGAGGGGCTGGGCAGCCCTGCCATGATCCCCCACGAGGGGCTGGCCAGGCACAGGACTGCCATGAACTGTTTTCAGGGTGAGCTGGGAGAGGCATGGGACGAGACAGAGAGAGAACCAGAGAGATAAAAAATGAGCTCAGGAAACAGCAGTGGCGGGGAGGAGGGAGGAAAGAGGGAGGGAGGGATGGAGGGAGGGAGGGAGGGAAGAAAGAGGGAGAAAGAAAGAAGAGGGTGGCAGAAGGAAAGAGGATGAGGGTGCAGCGAAGGCTGAGGCCTGGCCTGCCTGGATAGGGTCACAGGGTCAAGTGTGGCCTTTTCCCTGGAGAGTGGCTCCAAACGGCACATCCATCAGTTAATGGGGGGGAGATGGTCACTGACTGGGGAGGTTGGAGGCCCCCTCTGAGATCCAGCTGGGAAGCTCCCCCAACAAACTGCCTGCACTTCCCCACTCCCCTGGAAGCCCCGCTCCCTCTCCCCTGCCCGGCAGCCTCCCTGCTCCCAAACCTCTTAGCCCATTAAGCCGCCAGAGTCAGCAGCGCTGGCAGCTAGCAGGCAGCAGGGCCTCTGTGCTCTTTGCTTTTCCAGAACCCGGGTATTTCCGGGAATACTGACGTGGTCACTGGCTGGGAGCCTGCTCTCAAGGCTGGAGGGGATGCTGGGCCCTGGGGCCATAGCTCCCAGGCTCGGCCTCGGTCCTTCGGGGAGGTGGAGGTCAGACAGTGATGTCCATGTCCAGAGTCTGGCCAGCTTCAAGAGACCACCCTTTAGGAGACCTGAGAGACACGCTCTCCCCCAGCCCTCGCCCCAGCAAAGGTAAGGACAAGGAAGAGAGACCGCCGTGAACTTCAGCACCACGGACAGAGGCTGGACCTCCCGGAGGAGGGGGCTCTAGGCGGCCTTCAGCCGCCAGAGAACAAATCCCACAAACCCACCAAGGATGAAGTTGGGAGACCCATGATTAATCCTGGGTGGCCTGCCAGGGAGACTTCGTCAAGTCACCATAGCTAGCTAAACCTCAGCTTCATTGTCTGTGAACTGGGGATGCCAGGAAGAATGGAACCAGAGAGACTGTGTAAGAAAATGCCTGGAACATCTCAGACATGGGAGAAACCTAAGCACAGAGAAGTAGTGCTCTGAGCTGGGCGGGGGTGTGGGTCCCGCACCTGGGTCTCCAGGGCTGGGCCACCTTGTTGCGCCCTGGGCAGGGGACCGGGCCAAGCCAGAGCAGGCTGCAGTCAGAATGAAACTTTGTCCCTGACACCGCCATGCCCACGCACAGACACCAGAGGCTTCTGTGATTCTGATGATGCCCAGAAAATGCCCAAACGACCCATGATGACCCCAGCTCTGTTTGGAAGCCAAAGATACAGCCAGGATGACAAGCTGGAGAGGACACAGCAGCCTTGCCCCCATGTTTCTGCTGTCGGGATTGGGCTCGAGCTAACTGCACAGAGGCTGCCAGCAGCTGGGCAGCAACACGGCGCAGAGGGAGCAGGACCTGGACAAGAGGGGCTGCTGTGTCAATGTCTGCCAGGAGCCGACCCAGCATCTGACAGCAACCTGCAGGGGAGACCAGGAGAGGCAGCCCAGGGAGAGCCGGCGGAGGGAGGGACAGGGAGGGGAAGGTGCCTCCAGCAGCCTCCACTGTCTGGCAGGAGCAGCAGAGCACACCAGCTTGGGAGAGCAGGGCTGGCAGAAGGCCGGGGACCCGGCACTGACGGAGGGCTCACCCAGCAACCGCTCAGGATTAAGCAGGAGAGCAGGAGGGCACAGACCCTCAGCATGAAACGGGCTCAGATGACACCAGGCACGTCTGTCGCCCATCTGTGGCCCCAGCCCTGAAGTCATCCACTAGGGCTCAGGCAAGCCACAAAACCCTCATTTCTTGGAGGCAGGGCACTTCTTTCCCTCCTCCATCCACCTGCACTAGAGAGAGCCCAGTTGAAGAGACTGGTCTGACTCCCAAGTCCCCACCTGCCTCCCCGGCCCTGAGCCTCTGCCCTGCCTCCACCACATGGATCCCACATGGCTGAGCCTCACACCTGCACCCTCCTCCCCTACCAGGGGTGGGCCAAGGGTGGGGGTACAGGGTGGAATCCTGCATCCAGCTGTTTCTACACTCTAGAACTAGGCCTCCTTTCTGTATTGTTTTTCCAAAATCTCTCCTTGCAGAGAAAGCTGCAAGTAGTTCTGAAAACACCTAGCAGAGCAGCGCCCATCAGTGGGACCTGGAGGGATGGAGCATCATCCAGGGGCAAGAAGGGAAGAAATAATCAAGAACCAGAGGTAAATGCACGATTCAGTATCTCAAAACATACAGAGAGGCTCATAGACCAGGCCACGTGCAGGGGAGGAGACACAGACACAAACCGATGATGCCCTAGCTAAGCCCCCGAACCAACCCAGCCCTGAGGCTTGAGAGCAATCAAACCGTACTGCGGGCATGAATATCCGGATGACAGCTGGCCTTCAACCTTGGCACTGACCTTTCAGCTGCAGCAGCCCTAGGTGTGACTACAGGGGGCGCTCCATCGGCTAGCAGAAGAATCTTAGTGGACGTGGAGTCCCCAAACAGAATCCACCTTCAAAGCTGCCTTGACTGTTATGCCCAGCCGATATGTGCCAGGAGGCAGAGGCAGGCAGGAGGGGTCTGTGCTCTGAGCCCCCACCCTACTGAGGACACAGCATACGATCACGGCCCTGGGGATCCCAATGGACAGGCCCGCCACCCTTCCTCCTTCCCAGCTCCGCAGACGCTTCTCGGCGGAGGCCTCCCACCTCCGTCTCCCTTCCCTCTTGGCCGGATGCTCGGCACACGCACCACATCTCCTGAAAAAGGAGACATTTAAACTCAAAAGGAAGGGTGCGGAGAGTGGGTCATTCTCCGTTTGGGGTCCTTCAAGATTGAGAGGGAAAAGGGAAGAATGAAATAGGAGCCTTCCCATTCATGAGTGTTATAAACAGTTATAATTTAGCACTGAATAATTGGTTGCTATGGTAACCGCTGCAGTACAGGTTGAAATCATTTCTCCCTCCTGCGCTAGCTAGGGTCTGACAGGGAGCTTCATCTACATATGCTCAGGTTCCGGCTGCAGGCTGGTTATTTTATGTAAATCAGAATCCACCACTTGCGGCCAGCCTCCCGCCACCAACAAACTGCTGCTTGTGGCCCATCTGCCCTGGTCCCTTTGCCCCTGATCTTGGAGCCACCTGGTTGGAGATAGAGAAGGGCAGAGGGGTGGAATCCCCTTGCCTATATCCTGGGCCCCCAAGTCTGCCAGGCAGGTGGGCAGCAGGCACCAGGCGGCTGGGCCACAGCTTGCTCCAGACCTCCTAAGATCTGACAGCTGGCCCAAGCCAGGCTCTCGAATGCAGGGGAGGGAGCACCTCCGGAGGCCTCTTGTCCATCCCAGCCCCCTACCCCTTCCAAGAACCAGGATTGCATCTCAGTAGAGAGAAGGAGAAAGGGTGAGGCAGGGGTGGAGCAAATGAAAGAGAGGGAGGGAAATGAGGGGAGAGGGTAAGAGAGAAAAGAGGGCAAAGGAGAGAGAGGAGATGCCGAGAGGTTACCAAGGTGAAGACCAAGCACAGGCCAGAGAGAGGGACGGAATATGAGACCCAGGGAGAGACAGACAGACAGACAAGAGCCAGAGAGAGATAGGGACCTGGACAAAAACAAAAACATCTTGTCAGAGGAAGAGGCAAGAGGGAAGACCGGAAGAAGGAAGGCTCAGCGGGATCATAGCCCTGGGAATGAGAGTGAGAGAACCAGCCCTCCCAGGGCTCAGAGACCAACTGACCCCAGTCCCCAAGCCTCGCCACTGTCCAGACGCTGCCCACCCCCCAGCCTCCTTCCCAGCCCTGCTGTACCCTGAGCCCAGGAGAGGGAAGGGGAGCCAGGCCCACGCAACCCAGTGGCCTTGAGACCCAGGCCCATGTGACACTGCCTGTCTTGGCCTAGACTCCCACCCAGCTTCTAATTCCAAGGAGGTGGGGGGGATTCACAGGTAGAAGGCCCTGCCATGGGGCACGAGCCCCAGGGTCCTAAAATCCACATCACCCTGAGCCTGTGGAGCCCAGGTCTGAGGCTCGAGTGGAGGATGGCAGCAGAGCAAGATTTCACAGCCTCTGCCAGAGACTCTCGGTGCCTTCATCCCAGGGCCTGGCAGCCCAGAGCCATCTACCCTCTGCCCAGCACAAGGACCAACCTCTGGGGCCAGGGGGCAGTGGCTGAGGCAGTGGAAGAGAAGGGCAGGGGCTGCAGCAGGGAATTCAGGGAGCCCCATGCCAAAGAAGCTGGCCCACAGCCTCTCCTTCACAAGGGAGGCCTCCAGGCACTCAATCCCCACTTCCCCTCTCCTATCTCCACTTCCCCATCAATTAACAGGGACTGGGAGCTTCACCATCTTTGAGAACCTGGGGAAGATGTAAGCTTCAGAGCATAGGCCTGGGAGTCTCGGGGCCTGATGGGCTAGGCAGGAGCCTCCACACCCTGCTCCGAGGACCCGGGTCCTCCCCTTCACCTCACATCTTCCCCATGCAGCCCCCATGCTGGCCCAGTGGTAATGGGGAGTTCCTGGGAAGGGACAGACACACATCCATCCCAGACACCATGCCAGATGGGGCACAGTGCTGAGGGGCAACAAAGAAGACGCACAGAATCGGCCAGAAGGGCCAGGGGCTCTCCAGGGGAAGACAGGGTAGTGCACACACAGTCACCTGCACACATGCATGTGCACGGAGAACCAGAAGGGCCTGGAGCGGCTGCAAAGCAGGTGGAGGTGGGGGCAGGGGCTTGGAGGGCAGCAGTGGGGGCACCAGACAGGCTCTGGACCAGGGGGCCATAGGACTTGGTCAGTGTACACTCAGGAAGCTCTCCCAGGAGAGTCAGGGGCTGCAGGGGCCATGTGAGGCAGCAGCCGGGAGAGGAGGGTGGGTGGGAGGTGAGTGAGTGGTGCTGACCGACGCCCCCAGCAAAGAGAGGCGGGGCAGGACACACCTGAGGCAGCTCTGGCCAGAGGAATGGGGCCAACATCTCCCAGCCCCATCCTTTCCCTGCATCCCTGAGCAAGGACACACCCGGGGTGGACTCTGCCCTTCCAACGTCTCCAGGCTGACGCTCAGACCAGAGGAGGAGCCACGTGCTGCAGGTAGAGTTCAGGGCCCCCCAAAATGCCTCCAAGTGTCCGAACAAGCCAGGGAGGTGGAAATGGGGCACAGACCTGAGGCCCAGAGGTGAAGACAGGGACCCTCGCTCCCTGCCACCACCATCTCTCCCTCCCGGGGCTCCACTCCTGCCTCTGGCCTGGCCCCAGGGCTGCCAGGGGAGCCTGCCAGGCTGTCACATCACATCCATCCCTCCACTGCTCAAAGCCTTCCAGTGATCTCACCTTGTTCACGGGACAAGAAGAGGCCCAGAGTGCGCCCCGGAAACAGGCGCTCCTGGAACTCTCATGGTAGGGAGCGTCTCCAGCCTGGGACAAGCTCCCTGCATCCACCCCTAGGGTCTTCTGGCAGCTACCTCCCACCTTACTCTACAGGGAGGCCTGGATCCAGGCCCAGCGCTGCCAAGGCTACCCCGTTGGCATTATCACCTTCCCCACCACTACACCTCACCAGCGGCCTCCCTGGGCCTCTTGCCTGCAAGGTGGGGCCAGGCCGGTTCCCTCTAGGCAGGGGCAAAGAAAGGTGGAGAGCTGGCCTCAGGTCCCCTTGGGGCAGGCAGGAGGGGAGAAACATGCCTGGCAGGGGGCGGCTGGCACAGCTGACACCCCTGGATTCAGATCTCAGCACTGCCACTGTGTGACCGTGGGCCAGCTCACCTCTGAGCCCCCGCTCTCATCTGTGAAGGGAGGTGCCCGCCATTGCTGTCGACGTAGGGTGACTTGGAGGATCGGAGGAGACGCCCAGAAAGAACCAGGCAGCATACGGCGAGAAAAAGGGAGACCGCAACGTCCTAGTCCAAGTCGGAAGGACTTTAAGCTGCAAGCCCACCTCAGTTTCCCCATCTGCCAAGCCACAATCATCCTTCCCATCCCACCAATTTCCAGGGCTGATCATGAGGATCAAGTGAGCCCGCGTGAAGCACAGAGAAGCACACCCGGAATGTGTCAGCAGCGTGGGAAGACAGGGACACGTTCACACCGTCACACCCGCCAACTGGAGGCAGCGGAGCGTGCGGCAGCCTGGCCCGCCCAGAACCAGCCAGGAGCCAGGGAGAAAGCTACAGGAATGTGGAGGTCACCTGCAGGTGACTGTCCCTAAATGGGCCTTGCTACTCTTCTCTGACTCACTTCACTTTCATCACAGTTCAGTTTAGAGGGATGGAGGTCAGCTACGGAGCAGGGAGGGGGCAGGGAGGTAGGGAGGCACCATGGCGAGGGAATCCCACCCTGTCCCCACACAGGACAGGACAACGGGAGGAAGGAAAAATGAGGCTCCGACATCCTGCTCCAGAAACAGGACAGCTCACCAACGTCTCAGAAAGGCTTCCATGCACAAGGCTTCACATGAGAACTAGTCACAGTGTTTTTCATCAAACTCAGTTCTTGGAAACCCTCAAACCCCAGGGTCCTGGGGCTTAGCCCTCCTCTGCAGCCAGGCAAACGCAGCCACAACCCCCCGCCCCCAGCTCACCAGGCGGGCGCTGCCCCTCACCTCTTTCTTCTTCCGCTTCCCTTTGCACTTGTTTTCCTTGAGCTTCTTGGGTTTCTTCTTCTTAGGAAGGCTCACGGGCTCCACAGGGAAAAAGTCATCGAAAGCTTCAAGACCACCATCTTCTTCTTCTGGAAGAATCAGAAAGTGGCAGCGGTTACTTCTGAGCTTCTTCCAGGGACACAGAGCCAGCCCTGAGGAAGCTGGGGTCCCCGGCTCCACGGACACCCAACTGTGCCAGGTCACAGCCACCCTGCCCTTCCCAGACCTGGTGAAGTGGGAGAACACAGGACAGGAACTGCAGCTCTGGGGACTGTGATATCCCCTCACCTCCTGGCCTTTCCTTCCCTCCTCTGTAAATGCGACAGTACCACCTGCCCGACAGGCAGTGTTCAGAAAACTGAACCTCCGTGAGCAACAACCTAATAGCCTTGTTGCCGTAGCTCCCTGAGAAACACAGCGGAGGAGTCAGGGCCAACAGAGCAGAGCACAGACCTCAGGGAGGCCTATCTCTGCCCTCCAGAGAGAGGACCACAGTGTAGCCAGGAGGCGGCCCAAGAATGCTGGATCTGCCAGGCACAGTGGCTCATGCCTGTAATCGCAGCACTTTGGGAGGCTGGGGCACGCGGATAACCTGAGGTCAGGAGTCTGAGACCAGCCTGGCCAACATGATGAAACCCATCTCTTCTAAAAATACAAAAATTAGCTGGATGTGGTGACATGTACCTGTAATCCCAACTACTCGGGAGGCTGAGGCAGGAGAATTGCT